CGGGGCGCCGGGCTCCGTCGCCACGCGGACCTCGAGCGCTGCGACGAACCTCTCGACGCCAAGCTCCCGGACCGGTGCCGCGTCTTGCACTGCCACGACATGGCCGGCGGCTACTGTAAATTAGCCGACGAGACCTACGCCGAGGCCTTCGCGAGCTGGCGCGAGATCGACGTCTTTTGCTACTTCGGGCACAAGCGCGTCACCGTGCCGCCCGCGAATTGGATCCGGCGCGGCCACGCACACGGGAAGCCCGTGCTCGGCACCCTCATCGTCGAGGGCGCCGACGGCGCCAAGGAGACGACGGCGCTCGTCGGCGACGCGCGCGCCGTCGACAAGCTCGCCGCGCTCGCGGCCTTCTACGGCTTCGACGGCTGGCTCCTCAACTTCGAGAGCCACCTCGAGGCGCCGGAGCAGGCGCCGAGGCTCGTCGACTTCGTCCGGCGGCTCACGGCCGCGTCCAAGGCCGCGAACCCCCACGCGCTCGTCATGGTGTACGACGCCGTCGTCCTCGACTCCGGCCGCGTCGAGTACCAGAACGCGCTCACCGAGCGGAACGTCGCGCTCTTCGCCGCCTGCGACGCCATCTTCCTCAACTACTGGTGGGGCCTCGACGCGCTCCTCGCGTCGCGCGCGCTCGCGGGCGGCCGCCGCGCGGACGTCTACGCGGGCGTCGACGTCTTCGCGCGGAACTGCGCCTACGGCGCGGGGCCGGGCGCGGCGGACGCCGTCGCGACCGTCGCCGCCGCGGGCGTGTCCGTGGCGCTCTTCGCGCCGGGCTGGACCCTCGAGGCGCGGCCGAACCGCGGCGACGACGACGCGGCTGCGGACGCGGCCTTCTGGGCCGCGTTGGACCTGGCGCGCGTGCGTGAGAGCGGGTAGTTTCATTTTTACGTGGCTCGAAATTTGTCCGAAGCGAGCGCTTCGATCGACTGCTCCTCGCCCTTGGCGGCCGCGCGCTCGAGCCAGTACCTGGCTTTGCCGAGGTCGACTTCCGTGCCTGCTCCGTCCATGTAACAAATGCCAAGGTTGTTCTCGCTAGGGGTAAAGCCTTGATTCGCCGCGAGCGCGTAGTACCGGAACGCCTCTTCAAATCTCTTCTCAGAGTAAAGTAAAACCCCTAAATTGGTTTGCGCGACCGCGGAGCCCAAGTCTGCGGCCGTGCGAAACAGCTGCATAGCCTTCTTCTTGTCCAGCTTGACGCCACTTCCAGTCACGTACAATCTTCCAAGCTGTCTCATCGCCACCACATTCCCGAGCTCCACGGCGCGCTTCCAAATTTTCGCGGCTTTCTTATCGGATTTCACAAGGCCGAAGTCACCATAGCAGTACGCCTCTCCCAAAGCCGTAATCGCTTCCGGCACCTCGTTCTCCACATGGCGCCGAAGTTGCGCGAGTGCTTCTGCATCGGATTCCGTGCGCGGTAATCGACAGAGGGGACACGCGTTTCCGATCTTGTCCTGGCACGATCGGCAGACCCTCCGGCAGCAACAGATGCGAAGCATGCCCGGAGCATTCACGTCCCACTCCTCGAGACAGATCGGGCACCGCGACCCAAACCGCGCCGACGTCGGGCCCCGCTCCGGGTTCGCCTCGCGCCGCACGCGGGCGGCTTCGTGCTCCGCGGCGATGCGCGCGCGGACCTCGTCGGCGTGCGACCGAGGCGCGGGGCCGTAGAAGACCTCCTCCGGCGGCGACGGCGGCGGGGTCGGCGCCTCCGCCCGCGCCGCCTCCGCCGCGCGCTCGTCTCGAATCTTCTTACACGCCTTCCGGTGCCCGCGGTCGCGCCAATCGATGCGTTGACAGTCCGTCGAGCAATACCTGCGACGGCGCCCCGGGACGCGTCGAGCCGCCCCCGACCCGTTCGCGCGCGTTGGCGCCGGGCTCGCACTGTGTGGTGCCGCACGGGCAGTTGAGCTTCGCGGACTCGCCGCATATCGTGCAGGAGATTCGGAGCTTGAGCGCTTTCGCGCGCGCCTTTTTGATCTCGTATTCTTTTTGCTTCTTCTCCCACTCCATCAGCGGCTTCAACGGCGCGTCCTTCGGCATGGTCGCGATCTAAAGGCTCTGATATATACGCGAGACCGGGGGGCGCGACAAATTTAGCGGGCTCAGTCGGCGCGTCCGCAGTACTTGAGCTCCAAAGGCGCCGCGTCCACAAGGAATCGGCAAACTACGGTAATCGGCGAGTCGCGAGCGGATCGGCCTCGACAGCTCTCTCCGTGCGCGAGAGCGGGTAGTTTTATTTTTACGTGGCTCGAAATTTGTCCGAAGCGAGCGCTTCGATCGACTGCTCCTCGCCCTTGGCGGCCGCGCGCTCGAGCCAGTATTTGGCTTCGACCAAATCGACTTCCAAATCGATGTCAGAGCCCCAGTCATGCATCAGAAAAAAACCGAGGGCGCCTTCGGCCTGAGTGAGTCCTTGCGCGGCGCTGAGTCTCAAGTAGTGTAGCGCCTCGACGTATTCGCCATCGATTTCAAGTTCACGTGCCAGATTCTTTTGAGCCCATGCGCCCCCCCGATCCGCGGCAACGCGAAACAATCGCATCGCCTTCTTCTTGTCCAGCTTCACGCCGTCTCCTAACGAATATGAGCGTCCAAGGGCTGTCATCGCGTCCGCGTTCCCGAGCTCCACGGCGCGTTTAAAAATCTTCGCGGCCTTCCTTGTGTTCTTTCCGAGTCCACACCGGCCATGCATGTATTGCAGTCCCAATGTATGGATAGCTTCCGGCACCTCGTTCTCAACGTGGCGACGAAGTCGCGCCAGCCACTCCGCATTATTTGTAGCACAAGGGACCCGACAGAGAGGACACAGCTTGCCGAGTGCCTTTGCTGCGCACGAATTGCAGAGCTTCCGGCAGCAACAAGTAGCCAGCGCAGGCGTCTCATTCACGTCCCAGTCCTCCATGCAGATCGGGCACCGCGGCCCGTACCGCGAAGAGATCGGCACGGGCTCCGGGTTCGCCTCGCGCCGCACGCGGGCGGCTTCGTGCTCCGCGGCGATGCGCGCGCGGACTTCGTCGGCGTGCGACCGAGGCGCGGGGCCGTAGAAGACCTCCTCCGGCGGCGACGGCGGGGGCGTCGGCGCTTCCGCCCGCGCCGCCTCCGCCGCGCGCTCGTCTCGAATCTTCTTACACGCCTTCCGGTGCCCGCGGTCGCGCCAATCGATGCGTTGACAGTCCGTCGAGCAATACCTGCGACGGCGCCCCGGGACGCGTCGAGCCGCCCCCGACTCGTTCGCGCGCGTTGGCGCCGGGCTCGCACTGTGTGGTGCCGCACGGGCAGTTGAGCTTCGCGGACTCGCCGCATATCGTGCAGGAGATTCGGAGCTTGAGCGCTTTCGCACGAGCCTTTTTGATCTCGTATTCTTTTTGCTTCTTCTCCCACTCCATCAGCGGCTTCAACGGCGCGTCCTTCGGCATGGTCGCGATCTAAAGGCTCTGATATACACGCGAGACCGGGGGGCGCGACAAATTTAGCGGGCTCAGTCGGCGCGTCCGCAGTACTTGAGCTCCAAAGGCGCCGCGTCCACAAAATCGGCGAGTCTCGAGATTCTCTCTCTCTCTAGCGCATTAGGCGACACACCCCGCCTACGCGCCTACCTTGGGCGGGCGCGGGCACTGGGGGGCCCACTAAAGCCGCACCGGGCCTCGGGGGGGCTCCTCTTGAGGGGCCGGGATCGTCCCTGTTGCAGGGGCCCAGACGTCCCTGGCGCGGAGCTTGGCTCCTGACGCGGCCCGCGGAGCTTGGCTCTCGATCGGGGACGCTGCGCACTCGGAGGCCGCGAGGTCCAGACGGGGGAGCATGCGGCACCGGGGGGCCGACTGCCAGGGCCGACGTTGCCCGCTGCGACTTCTCCAGGCGGGCCGGCACACGCGGCGACCCGGGCTTGGCCCGTTCCGCCGGCACGTCTCCCGCCGCGGCCGGCCCTCCGAGCGCGCGGAGGCCCTCGCGTCGGGCGACGAGACGCTCGAGTCCGTCATCGCCGCGCGCAAGAACATCCCCGAGTCCGACGTCGTCCGCGACTACAAGAGCAACCAGAAGAAGGTCATCGCGACGACCGTCGGCAAGTGAGAGGAAGAGTGGTCTCGCCGTCGACGACGTCGCGCGGCGCGTCGACGGGACGTGCGGCACGGAGCTCAACGCCGGCGTGGCGCTAGGAACGCGGCGACGACGACGCCAGGGCCAAGCACGACTCGACCGCGCGCAAGGCGCAGCATCTCGGGCTCGGTGGGGGGGCGCGGCGTAAGAATTAGACTACCTAGGTATAGTCCAGTCGGGGCGCGCGAGGATCTCTATAGCTTTCTCGTGGCCCTTGGCAGCGCCGCGCTCGAACCAGTATCTGGCTTTGCCGAGGTCGACTTCGGTGCCTTGTCCGTTCCTGTAACAAATGCCAAGGTTGATCTCTCCGGGGGTATAGCCTCGATCCGCCGCGAGCGCGAAGTACCGGAACGCTTCTTCAAATTTCTTCTCGTGGCAAAGTAAAATAGCTAAATTGGTTTGCGCCACCGCGGAGCCCCGGTCTGCGGCCGCGCGATACAGCTTCATCGCCTTCTTCTTGTCCAGCTTGACGCCGGACCCCTCCTCGTGCATTTCCCCAATAAATACCATCGCGTCCACATCTCCGAGCTCCACGGCGCGCTTCCAAATTTTTGCGGCTTTCTTTTCGGATTTCACGAGGCCCAACCGACCTTCGCGGTACGCACCTCCCAAAAACGAAATCGCTTCCGGCACCTCGTTCTCCACATGGCGGCGAAGACGCGCGAGCATTTCCGCATCGCTTTCTGCGCACGGTAAGCGACAGAGGGGACACGCGCCGAAGCCGATCTTGGCCTCGCACGATCGGCAGACCCTCCGGCAGCAACAGACGCGAAACACGGTTTGAGCATTCACGTCCCACTCCTCGAGGCAGATCGGACACCGCGACCCGTGCCGCGCCGACGTCGGCTCCCGCTCCGGGTTCGCCTCCCGCCGCACGCGGGCGGCCTCGTGCTCCGCGGCGATGCGCGCGCGGACTTCGTCGGCGTGCGACCGCGGCGCGGGGCCGTAGAAGACCTCCTCCGGCGGCGACGGCGGGGGCGCCTCCGCCCGCGCCGCCTCCGCCGCGCGCTCGTCTCGAATCTTCTTACACGCCTTCCGGTGCCCGCGGTCGCGCCAATCGATGCGTTGACAGTCCGTCGAGCAATACCTGCGACGCCGCCCCGGGATGCGTCGAGCCGCCCCCGACCCGTTCGCGCGCGTTGGCGCCGGGCTCGCACTGTGTGGTGCCGCACGGGCAGTTCAGCAAGGTCTTCGGTTTCACCCCACAAATTGTGCACGTCAAACGCAGCTGTAGCGCTTTCGCCCGCGCCTTCTTCTCTTCGTATTCGCGCTGCTTCTCGACGTACTCGGCCTTCATGATCGTTGCGCGCGGGGGCGACAGTTTTGCCTCCTCTCCTCCAAAATCGCTCAAAATCTACCCCAGGGCTAAGCCTCTAGATCATCGCATCCCATGTCGTTCTCCATGCCCCCCTCAACACCGTCGTCGTCCTTGCGCCGGGCGGACTGCATCAGGAACGCCAGAACGCGCTATCGTTCGCAAAAAAACAACAACTTACGCCGCGCGCTCCTGCGCGGCGACGAGCGCGAGGACGACGGGGAGCAGCGCGCGCGCGTCGTCGCAGTAGGCGGCGAGGGCGCCCGCCGCCTTGGCGAGGCCGCGCCAGCGCCCGACGTGGCCGAGGACGCCGTCGAGGCCCGCGAGGCACTGGCCCGCGAGCGCGAGCGTCGGGCCCGCGGCGTGGTCGACGGCGTGCCACCGGTGGCCGGGGAAGAAGAGGAACTCGCCGGGCTTCTGGACGACCTCGACGTCGGGCTCGCCGAGGGCCGCCGCGTCCCTGCGCACGAACGCGGCCCCGAGCCCCCGCGGGCCGAAGCGGTCCGCCGTCGCCGCGGCCGCGCGCGAGCAGCCCGCGTCGCCGAACCCCGCCTCCGCGTCGCCCCAGAAGCGCCACCGCTTCTCGCCGCAGAGCAATAAATGCCAGCCCGTCCAGGCCAGCGGGTCCGCGTGCGTCGACGACGTCGCGCCCGCCGAGCCGACGACGACGCAGAGCTTCGGCGGCCGCGCGTCTTTCGGAAACACGGACGCGAACGCGTCGTGGCGCAGCGAGTCACGGTAGGGCTGGGGCGCGCAGTCGAGGATCGTGGGCCACAGCGTGCCCGGCGCGTTTTCGAACTCGGTCATGGACATGAGCGCGTCGTCGCAGCCCGCGGCGGCCGCGCGCGACGCGTGCGCCGCGGCGTTCCAGACGTCGCGGAGCGGCGCGCGGTACCGCTTCCCCGCGACGGTGAACGCGCAGGGCGCGGCGCCGAGGCACGCGAACACCGCGGACGCCGGCGACATGGCGCCGAGCTCCACGGGCACGACGCGGGGCCCCGCGACGGGCCGCGACGCCGCGGCGTCGACGCGCCAGCGGACGTTTCGGAGCGCGGCCGTGGGTAGGCGCAGCTCGACGGCCGCGGCGCCGTCGGAGCCGCGCGTTCGCCGCCGCGCGCGGTGGCCGCGGCCGCGGACGGCGAAGCGCGCGCCGTCGCCGCCTTTGAGCTCCATGCCGGGGCTCGCGTAGCCGTACCAAAAGTCCGCGCCGTCCCAGACGACCGCGTGCTTCGTCTCGAGGCTCCCGGCGATGGCCGACGCCCAGTCGTCGCCGCGCTGGAAGCCGCCGACGGCCTCGCTCCGCCGCGCGGGCCGCGTCCACTCGTAGACCAATAGCGGCGCCGATGACCCGACGGCGATCTTCACCTGGACGCAGAGCGGGAGCGCGATGGAGAAGACGCCCGGGTCGAAGCCGCCGCCGCCCTCGAAGACGTGCTCGGGACCGACGTGCCACGGCGCGAGGACGCCGTCGGGGTCGCGCACTATTCTCCCGTCGTCGTCTCTTCGCCGGAGCAGGAACGACCCGACGACGTCGCTGCCGTCGCCGTAGCCCGCGTAGCAGTCGGCCCAAACGACCGCGTCGTCCGGGAGGACGTGGAACCCGAGTTCCCCGGCGTCGAGCGGCCGCCACGGCAGGAAGCGCCGGTCCGCGAGGACCGCCGCCCAGCGCGCGCCCGCGAGGTCGTCCGCGTCGCAGCCGAGGCGCCGCGCCGCCGCGGTTCGGCCGGCGCAGCGCGCCGCGGCGACGAAGCGCCGCGCGCAGGCGCCGAGGCGGCTCAGCTCCTCGACGAGCAGCGACTCGACGACGTGCAGCACGAGCGCGTCCGGCAACGGCGTGAGCAGCGAGACGGGCGGCGACGGCGGACACGGCCGAGGCGCGGGGCTCGGCGCGGCTGGCGGAGGCGCGGGCGCCTTCCCGAATAACTCGGAAAACGTGGCAGATGCCTCGATGAGCTCGTTGAAATCTCTAAGCTCGCCGTCCGGGCCCTCCGAGATATGCCGCTGCGACAGCCCGCGGCTAGGCGGAAGCGCGTTTAAGGCGGCTGCGAGTTCAGGCCCACCCTCGTAACGGTTCACCGCGTTTAAGGCGGCTGCGAGTTCAGGCCGGATCGCAGTCTCCTCCCTCCTGGCCGCGCGAAGCGGTCGCGCTAGCCGAGCTCTCGAGGCCTCCATTGTCTCCTCCCTGGCCGCGCGAAGCGGTCGCGCTAGCCGAGAACTCGAGCCTCCATTGCCACGGACACGGAGCAGTGCACGTTGAACGTTGAAATCTCGTTGCCGCGGGCAGCCTTCCACGATCGTTTGCTCGAGCGCCCACCGCCCCCCGCAACCCGCAGCCCGCAGCCCATGGCGCTCCGGAACCGCACGATCCGCGGCGCCCGCCTCGAGTACCGCGACCGCTTCCGCGCGTCCATCGGCGAGTTCCACGCCTGCCGCGCCATCTGCCAGATCCTGCAGCAGGAGGGCGACGTGGAATCGTCGTGGTCCTGCATCCCGCGCGACTGCGTGTCGCTCATCTTGAGCTTCTTCACGACCATGGACCTCGTGGGCCTCATCGACGCCGTGGCCGCGCCGCTGTCGCTGCCGGCCGACGACTCCGACGCGTTTCGCGTCTTCGCGCGGAAACGGCCGCTCTGGGAGCGCGAGGACGAGGCCGGCGAGTACGACTCCGTGACGACCTGCGGCGGCACGGTCTACGTCCACGACGCGCGCCTCGACCGCGAGCACCGGACGCTCGTCGAGCACCGCGAGTTCGCCGTCGACGGCGCCTTCGACGAGGCCGCCGAGGACGGCGCCGTCTACGAGGGCACGGCCGGCCCCCTCGTCGACGACGCCCTGCAGCGCGGCGGCGCCCGGGCGACGGTCGTGTTCTTCGGCCAGACGGGCACGGGGAAGACGAGAAGCGCGGTGGCGTTCCAGGAACGCATCGCGGCCGCCGTCTTCGACGACCGCGACGGTTTCGCCGTGTCGGTCTCCTGCGTCGAGATCCGCGGCAAGATCTGCACGGATCTCCTGGGAGAGCGCGCGCGCGTCAAGGTGCTCGAGGGCGCCGCGCACGAGATGCACCTCCACGGCGCCGTGGAAGCCCGGGCCGACTCGAAGGCGAGCCTCCTCGAGGTCCTCACCGCGGCCGCGGCGCTCCGGTCCGTGCGCGCGACGGCGAACAACGAGCAGAGCTCGCGGTCCCACTGCGTCTTCACGCTCACGGTCACGAAGGGCGACCGCGAACCGTCGGTGCTGCGCCTCGTGGACCTCGCGGGTTCCGAGCGGAACGACGAGCAGAAGCGGCACGCGCGGTCCGCCGTGCTCGAGACCGTGGAGATCAACCGGACGCTGTCGACGCTCAAGGACTGCTTCCGCGCGGTCCGGGGGCTCGACGTCGACCACGAGGTCGTCAAGGAGACCTGGGGCTACACGGAGGCCATGGTCGCGGAGTACCGGTCGAAGAAGCTCGAGGACTGGCGCCGGCGCGGCCTCGACGCGACGGACCCGCGGCGCTTGGAATGGCTCGAGGCCCAGTGCAACCGGCGCCTCGCGTCCGCCGTGGAGTTCACGAAGATCAAGCCCCTCGCGGCGCCCCGGGAGTCGGCCCACGCGCGCAAGCTCCGCTGCCCCTACAGAGATACCTTGCTCTCGAAACTCCTGGCGGACATGTTCCTCTCGCCGAAGCACCGCGTCGCCGTCGTCTCCACGCTGAGCCCGTCCGCGACGGACGTCGAGCACTCGCGGCGGACGCTGGAGACGGTCTGCGCGATGCGGGGCGCCGCGGAGATGGTGCAGCGCGTCATCACGGTCGCCGCGCGCCAGACCTTGAGCGAGAAAGAGCAGTACGAGCCCGTGGTCAAGTGGTCCGCGGCGCGCGTCCGCCAGTGGCTCGCGGGCCGCGACGACTTCGCGTCGACGGTGCGCTTGAAGGCCGGCGCGACGGGCAAGGACCTGCTCCGGCTCCCGAAGCCGCGGCTCCGGGCCTTCTGCGGGGGCGACGAGGCCCTGGCGGCGGCGCTCTTCCAGGCCCTGCGCGACGAGTCCAAGGCCCAGGACGCGCGCGCGCGCGCGGCCCGAAACCGGAAGACGGCGCTCATGCGCGGCGAGGCCCTCGACGACGGCGCGGCCGCGCCCGAGGACGCCGGCGCGGCGCCCAATGAGGCGCTCCCGAAGCCGCCGAGCCCGGCCAAGGCCGCCCGCCCGCCGGCGCCGCCGACGAACCGGTGCACGTTCGTGTCCACGGGCGCGGGCATCATGATCCACGACGGCGACGCGCGCCAGTAGATCCCCCGAGTCGTAAGGACCTAGGCTCACGGCGCGGCGGGCGCGGCGGGCGCGGCGGGCGCGGCGGGCGCGGGCGCCGCGCCGTCGCCCGCCGGAGCCGGAGCGGCCGCGCCGTCGGCCGCGGGCGCCGGCGCCTCGGCCGCGGGCGCGGGCGCGGCCTCGACGGGGGGCGCGGCCGCGGGCGCCGGCGCGCCCTTCTTGGCGCCCTTCGTCGCGGTCGCGGCGTCCTTCTTCGCCGCGGCGCGCTCGGCGACGGCCTTCTTCGAATATTCTGATCTTGAAGCTCCCGGGCCACCGTACGGCGGCGAATTCCGATTAGATCCAGTGGGAATTGAGGAAAAAAGGGGGACCGGCGGCTCCAGGGGCGCGGCCTCGGAGGCTCACACGCGGTCGGAGTTGTCGGAGTACTTGCGGACGAGGAGCGGCGGCGAGTCGGCGCGGAGGTCCTTGTCGTCGACGGGCGCGGGGAAGAAGGTCTTGGTCGTCGCGCGGTCCGTGAGCGGGCGCCGCGAGTGAAGGGGCGGAGGCGCCTCCGCGAGCTGCTTCTCGAGGTCGCGCGCGCGCTTCTCGAGGTGCTTGATCCACGCGTTCGCGTGGACGTCGTCGCCCGCGGCGCCGTTCTGCGTCTCCCAGAGCTGGCGGTACCAGCCCGACACGAGGACGCCGTCGGGCCCGGCGACGACGGGCTTCGCCAACAGCTCGTCGTGCGCGCCCTCCTCGACCTTCGCGCCGCGGTTCATGACGACGATCTTCTCGCAGTGGCGGATCGTCGCCAGCCGGTGCGCCACGACGATGATGGAGCAGTCGCTCGCCTTGCGGATGCCGTCGAGCGCCTCCTGGACGACGGCCTCGTTGACGGAGTCGAGCGCGGACGTCGGCTCGTCCAGCAGCAGAAACCGGGGCCGGCGGATCATGGCCCGCGCGATGGCGATGCGCTGCTTCTGGCCGCCGGAGAGCTTGAGGCCCCGCTCGCCGACGAAGGACTCGAGCTTCCGCGGGAAGACCTCCTGGATGTCCTTCCAGATCGACGCCTTCCGGCACGCGTCCTCGACGCGCGCGTCGATGTCCGGCGCCTGCTTCTCCGCCTCCGAGAGCCCGTAGACGATGTTCTCGCGGATCGTCGTCGCGAAGAGCACGTTGTCCTGGGACACGGTGGAGATGGAGCGCCGGAGCGCGCGCGGGTCGTAGGCCTCGATGGGCGCGCCGCCGAGCGAGATCTCGCCGCCCGTCGGCGCGTAGAAGCGCTGCACGAGGCTCAGCGACGTCGACTTGCCGCAGCCCGCCGCGCCGCAGAAGCCCACGGACGAGCCCGGCGCCACGGAGAAGGACAGCTTGTTCAGGATCTTCTTGCCGGGCACCGCGAAGTCGACGTCGCGGAACACGAGTTCGCCGCCGACGTCGCTCCGGCCCGGCGCGTCGCCCGGCTGCCGCTCGATGCGCGGCTTCGACACGAGCAGCTCGTTGATGCGGACGATGGGGTCCACGCACTTGACGACCCGGGGGACGACCTCGAGGATGTAGCGCAGGTGGTCCGTGATCATCGTCACCGCGACGACGAACTGCGTCGCGACGCCGACCGTCAACTCGCCGTCGAAGACCGCCGCGCCGCCCGTGCGCAGCGCGTAGAGCCGGTTCGCCATGAACAAGAGGAAGAGCGGCCAGTCGAAGCAGATGACGTGCACCGCGTGCGCGAAGAGGTCGATCTGCGCGCGGTACGCGGAGGAGAACGCGAACTTGTCGCGCTCGTCGTCCTCCTTGGCGAACGCGCGGACCGTGCGCACCTCCTTGATGATCTCCGCCGTGTCCGCCGCGGCGCGCTCGCCCATCTTGCGCAGCCGCTTCCCGAACTTGCGCATGAAGTCGACGACGAAGTATTGCACGACGGCGACGACCGGCACCGGCAGGATCGCGAACCGCAACATCTTCGGGTCGATCCGGTGTAGGACATAAACGTTGGCGACGCAGACGGTCACGCAGCGCAGCAGGTGCATGGGCTCCGAGAAGAGGTGGTCGCTGAGCTGCTGCGAGTCCTGGGAGAGCCGCTCCTGGAGCACGCCGGACGGCGTCCGGTCGAAGAAGTCCGTGTCCTGCCGCAGCATCGCGCCCATGATGGACTCGCGCGCGTGGAGCACGAACTCCGTGCGCGCCTTGGTGATGAACGCGCGGCCCGCGACGTGGGCGAGCACGAAGATGGCCCACTTGGCGAAGGTGCCCAACAGCAGGTTCGAGAAGGCCTCCTTGTCCATCGTCTTGTCCGCGAGCGAATCCAGGAGCGCGAACATGGCGGCCCAGAGCGTCGGGCCCACGGCGCTCTCGAAGAGGAAGAGGGACATGCCGAAGGCATAGGTCCCGGCGACGGGCTGGAACAGCCTCAGGATCGCGCCGCCGGACCGGCGCGCGCGGAGGTAGGCGCCCGCGTCCTTGGCCAGCGCGGCGAGCTCCGGGGTTGCGATAGGTTTGTAGCCCTTCTGCGCCCGCGCGAAGTGGGGGCGCACGTTCGTGTCGTAGAGGCGGTGGAGCTTGCGGAGCACGCCGCCGCCGGCGAACTTCTGGAGCGACGCGCGCTCGAGCTCGTCCAAGACGTCGCCCGCGTCGGCCGCGCGCGTCTTCTCGAGGCCCTCGCGGAACTCCGCCGTCAAGCGAGCGCCGAGGAGCGCGCGGACCTCCGCGTAGAGCGCCGCGCCGTCGTCCGTCTCCGCGACGCCGTGGTCCAGCGTGTGGCGCTCCTCCTCCGTGTCCCAGAGCAGGGGCAGCAGGTCCGCGACCTCCGGGGCCAGCACGCGCTCGCCGACGACGTCGCCGCCCGCCGCGAGGGCCGCGTCCTGCCGCTCGCGGTCCCGCTCGTTGGCGACGGTCTGCTGCATCTGCGCGAGGAGCAGCTGGCACTTCTTCGCGCGGACGCGGAGCGCGGCCTCGGTCTTGCTCGTTCGGAAGAACGTGCGGTAGATGCCCAGGAGCGACAGCGCCAGGAGCGCGGAGAGCAGCGGCGCGGACCGGCGGGACGGCGGCCAGGCGACGGCGAGCGCGTCGGACGTGGTGAATCGGAGGTCCGCGGCCGCGGCCGCGGCCGCGGCGCGCGCGGCCGCGGCGAACCGCGCGGGCCACTCCCAGCTGGAGGGCCAGAGGGCCGAGGCCGCCGTCGGCGGCGCGAGGCCCTGGGCGCCGACGTTGCAGACCGTGACGAGCAGCAGGCTGCCGAGCACGAGGAGCCAGGCGTGGCGCACGCGCGGGTTGCGGCCGGCGTCGCCGGCGGGCAGCTTCGAGACCTTGAGCTCGTCGTCGTCGGCGTCGGGGAGGAGCGCCTCGCCGGCCTCGAGGTCGCCGTCGTAGCGCTTGCGCATGCTGGCCAGTGCTTGTGTTTCGGTTTCAAGATTAGGCGATGACGATCGCGGTTACAGCGACGCGAACACTCCAGGAACAAACACATCGTTTGGAGCGTTTGCTTGTCGAGGCTGAAACGACTGCAAGTCAATGTCGACGTTGAACCTCTGGTTGCCGTTTGCTCAAGTGTTTGGCACCCGTGGGCCAGTGCACCGGGCCCGCGGCCTAATTGTTGAAGCCGGTCGAACGCTGGGCGCACCGTGAACAAAAACGGCGAGACGGATGATCGCACAAGGGAGTGGGATTTACGACGCGCGGCTCTAGCGCGCGGCAGCGAGTGGTGGCGGGCGGCGGAGGCGGCGGTGCTTGGTGGTAGCTTGGTGGGCGGCTGCTCGGCGTGCGGCCTAGTTGACCTTGGCGTAGGCGTGCTCGATCCAGGGGAGGAGCGCCTCGACGTCGGACGTCTCGACGGTCGCGCCGCACCAGATGCGGAGGCCCGGCGGCGCGTCGCGGTACGCGCCGATGTCGTAGGCGACGTGGGCGTCCTCGAGGTACTTGGTCATCTTCTTGACGTTGTCCGGCGCCGTGTCGAGCGTGAGGCAGACGGACGTGTTGGACCGCGTCTTCGGGTCCTTGGCGAGGAAGTGGGCCCAGGGCGTCGCGTCGACCCAGTTCGCGACGGCGGCCAGATTCGCCTCGGACCGCTTCTTGAGGCCCTCGAGGCCGCCGATGGACTCGGCCCAGGTGAGCGCGTCGAGGTAGTCCTCGACGCAGATCATGGACGGCGTGTTGATCGTCGCGCCCGTGAACAGGGCCTCGTCGACCTTGCCCTTCTTGGCCAGCTGGAAGATCTTCGGCAGCGGCCGGTCGGGCTTGTAGGACTCGAGGCGCTCGACGGCGCGGGGCGAGAGGATGAGCATGCCGTGGGCGCCCTCGCCGCCCATGACCTTCTGCCAGGAGTAGGTCGTGACGTCGACCTTGGACCAGTCGACGTCCATCGCCTGGGCAGGACAAGAGTGCGAAATTCCCAACTTCAAAGGCTCCTCTCTCGGCCGGTTTCCACTCGTTTCGGCTGATTTTTGGACGAGCGATCATCTCTCGGAACGGTCTCGAAGCGTGGATGCTTTTTCCGGAACGCGCGCGCGCGGAACACTCACGTTGAAGCGACGTTGAATCACCCTTGTCCTGCCCCGTCCATCGCGAAGACGGCGGAAGTCGCGTCGTTGAACGTGAGGCCCGTGCGGTCGTCGGCGATCCAGTCGAGGTCGGGCACGCGCACGCCGGACGTCGTGCCGTTGAAGGTGAAGACGACGTCGTGGTCCTTGCGCGTCGCCGCGAGGTCGGGCAGCTCGCCGTAGGCCGCGTTGAACTCGGTCACGTCCGATAGCTTGAGCTGGTTCGTGACGTCGCCGAACCAGGTCTTGCCGAAGCTCTCCCAGTGGCAGACGTCGACGGGCCGCTCGCCGAGCATGGACCACATGGCCATCTCGATCGCGCCCGTGTCCGACGCGGGCACGACGCCGATGCGGTAGTCGTCGGGCACGCCGAGCACGCTCCGCGTCTTCTCGATGGCCTCCTTGAGCCGCGCCTTGCCGATGCTGGAGCGGTGGCTCCGGCCCACGGGCGCCGAGCCGTAGACCGCCGGGCTCCAGCCCGGGCGCTTCGCGCAGGGGCCGCTGGAGAAGTTCGGCGAGTCGGGCTTGGCGAGCGGCTCCTCGACCGCCGCCGCGGAGAGCGCGCGCGCCGACGGCGCGAGGGAGCGCCGCGCGAGGGACTGGCGGATGGCGAGCATGCTGCAGGTGCTGCGCAAACTGGGAGACACGCGCAAAGGCAACGCGAGGCGACGAAGATGACAGCGGTGACAGGCGGGGAGCAAGTTGTTTTGCAACAGCGAGGGGCAACGCGTGCGTGTCAGGCCGATGTTGACGGTGTTGAAGCCTCAGCGGCCGCTGCAAAATCGGAGGTCTCTCTCGTCTATCCTGTAGTAGTCCCGCATGCGTGGGCGCCATCAACCGAGGAATCATATACTGATCGACGCGAGCTCCGTCGCGAGGCGGGGCGGGTCGGGCTCCGGGTCGTCCCCCGCCTTCTCGCGCCGCTTCCGCGCGAGGTCCGCGGGGCGGCAGCACTTTTTGTAGCGCTTGCCGGACCCGCAGGGGCACGCGCCGCTCCGCGTCGTCTTCGCCTTGGGCTCGTCCTGCGGCGGATCGGCGAAGAGGCTCCCGACGGCGTCGCCGACGGCGGCGGCCGCCGCGTCGGCCCACGACGCCGCCGGGGCCTCCTCCTCCGGCGGCGGCGCGCCCCTGGAGCTCTTCCCGGCCTCCGGCGGGTCGAGGTGGGGCAGCCCCCGCGGCGCGTCGCCGCCGCCGTCGCCCGCCGCGCGCACGGAGTTGTAGTGGGACGCGCCGTGGTACGACAGGTGCAGCGTCCGCTTCGCCGCCCCCGGCGGCGCGTCGGCGCGGATCTCGAGGCGCGGCGCCGCGAGCTGGTGGACGACGACGTGGCAGGCGAAGACGTTCGCCGCCGCGACGAGCTCGAGGTTGCCGCCCCACTCCGCGTCGCGCCGGAGCCGGCACAGGTAGTCGTCCCAGGGCTCGTCGTCCTCGACGAACCACTTGAACGTGTCGCTCGCGAGCTCCTCGTGCTCCAGCAGCTGCTTCCGCAGCGCGGCGTGGTCGCGCTCGCGGCCCCAGAGCTGGTCGCCGAGCGCGCGAAAGAGGCAGTTGCCGTCGGCCGCGGTCTCGACGATGCGCAGGCCCTGCTCTCTGAGCTGCGCCGCGAAGCGCCGGTCCTCGTCGTCGCTGTGCTTCGCCTTGTTCTTGCGGTGCTGCTTCCGCTCGGCGCGCTCGGCGCGCTTGCTCGCGAGCGCCTGCTCCTTCTGGGCGCTGCGCCGCTCCTTTTCGACCTTGCCGCCCTTCTTCGAGCCCTTGACGCCCTTGCCCATCGACCGTTGTTTGTTGCACCGGCGCGCTACGACTGTTGTTGCGCCGGCACCTCAGGCTCTGAGAGCAGGCCCATCGCGCCTGGGCTCCTTGCACTGCTGCTGCTGTTCAGCATCTCAGCGAGCTGTGGCAAGAAAGCATGGAGCCGCAATCGGGAGGCTGCAAAAGACGATGATCACAGCACACCTACTAGTATTGGCAACAACAGCGTCAGCGCTCGCACCATCGCACCTCACACCGCAGCAGCAAAAGCGGTTCGCCAAGGTCGAGGCGCAGCTCCGCGAAACCACAGCTCCGCTCCTCATCGACGGCAACAACCTCCGCGCGGCGCTCGGCTGGACGCGCACGACCACGGAGGTGCAAACCCTCGTCGATGACTGGGCCGTCGCGACGTCGCGGCGCTGCGTGACGTGCTGGGACTACGGCGACGCGTTCGCCGCGGCCGCGACGGCCGGCGGCGCCGCGGTCTTCTCGGGGCGGTACGCGCTCGCGGACGACGCGCTCGCGCAGGCGCTCGCCTATTTGGATTGCGCCTGCCTGCTCGTCACGTCCGACACCAATCTGATCGCGCGGTGCCGCGCGCGGCGCGACGTCGCGACGCTGCGGTCGCAGGACTTTGGCTGGGCGCTCGAGGCCGCCGCGGGCCCAGACGCCTGGGGCGAGCGGCGGCCGGCGCGAAAGGGCGAGTCGTCGCGGACGCGGAAGCGCGAGGCGCGCGCGCTCCTCGACGCGCTCCGCGGATCGACGACCGACGCCGGCGACGCCGTCGCGCGGCTCGCCGCTTGGATAGAAGCGGGCCGGCCGGGGCTGCGAGAGACGACGACGCGCCGGGGCAACGTGCTCTACGAGGTCGACGACGAAACCGAAGCTGCGCCGCCTCCGCGCCGCGCCCGCGACGCGGACCTCGAGAGCGCGCTCGCCGCCATCGACGCGTACCGGCGGCCGCGGGATCTCGTCGTCGTCGAGGGCTCGCACGACGCGGCCGCCGTCGCCGAGGCTTGGCCGAGCGCGTCGACGCTCGCGCTCAACGGGAGCGCCCTCGGCCCCGGCAAGGCGGCCGTCGTCGCGGCGCGGGCCGCGGCCTGCGGCGGCCGCGTCGTCGTGCTGCTGGACCCCGATTTCACGGGCCTCCAGCTCCGCTCGGCCGTCGACCGAGTCCTCGGCGACGCCCTCGGGACCGGGTGGTTCCACGCCTTCGTGCCCGAGGAGGCCGCGACGCTCCGGGCCAAGGGCGCGCGGTCGAACAAGCGCGCCGGCGACGTCGGGCTCGAGCACGCGGCGAGCGACGTCGTCGCCGACGCGCTCCGCGGCGCGCGGCCCTACGCGCCGGGCCGCGCGGCGTTCTCGCGCGAGGACCTCGTCGCCTGGGGCCTCGCCGACGGCCCGGGCGCCGAGGATCGGCGCGCGGCCGTCTGCCGCCGCCTCGGGTTCGGGCTCTGCTCGGCGAAGCCCTTCCTCCGCGTGCTCAACACGTGCTCGTTCCATCGCGAGGACGTCGACGCGGCCCTCGACGCCTGCGACGCGGCGGACGCGCCGCCGCCGCCCGCGGGCGCCGCGCCGCGCGCGCCGAACGCCGTGGAGGTCGGCGCGGCCGTCGCCGTGCGCCTCGACGACGCCTGGTGCCGCGGCGTCGTGCTCTCCAGGGTCGCGTCGGGCCAGAACCGCGGCCGCGCGCGCGTCCGCTGCGACGGCCGGCGCGAGCTCGTCGTCCACGCGCTGTCGCGAAGATCCTACGGCCGCGATTGGGTAAGCTTCTAACGCGAAGTTCAATATACGCGTCCTTGAAGGGCACCTGAAAACTTCAAGAAATGAAACGCCCCGCGTTGTCGCTTTGGCTCTGCGGCTCGGCGTCCTGTAACATTGGGCTGCCACCCGCCATGGCGAGCTTCGAGGCGGCGCTCCCGGCGCCGGAGCCGGACGGCGCGTGCGTCGCGCAGAACGACTCGCCGACGTCGATCATCCGCGACGACGATGCCGGCCGCGAGGCCAACTACGCCCTCGTCGCCGGCGTCGTGCGCCAGCTCTTCTTCCTCAAGGGCCTCACGGTCGACGAGGTCTACCGGTTCGTCGACGCCATGGTCGAGGAGCGCTTCGAGCCGGACGAGGTCATCTTCCCCCAGGGCGCCGAGGGCGACCGCTTCTACATCATCAGAGCCGGCTCCTGCGCGATCGAGCTCGACGGCGTCGGCAAGGTCAAGGAGATCCCCGCGGGCGGCGCGGCCCCGGCGTCTTTTGTTGTTGGGAGGATAGACCAAACGCGTCATCATTAGGCTACTTCGGCGAGCTCGCGCTGCTCTATGACGCGCCGCGGTCCGCGTCCGTGCGCGCAGTCGGCGCCGTCGCGTGCTTCGGCATCGACGCGCCGACCTTCGACGCGCTCGTGGCGACGTGCAACGCGCGGCTCGTCGCGCCGCTCAAGAAGCTGAGCGGCATCACGCTGGCGCCGCCGGACGCGCACTACGCGCTCGGCGCGTTCCTCGGCGACGGCCAGTTCGCCGAGGTCTTCTCCGCGCGGCCCGCGGAGGAGGACGGCGCCGAGCGCGCCATCAAGGTCGTGGACCTGAGCCGCCACGACGCCGGCGTGTCCGCGGGGCTCGTGGCCGAGGTCGAGGCCATGCGGAGGTTGCGGGGCCACGCGAACGTGCTCAACGTCTACGACTGCTACCTCAGCGGCTCGAAGCTCTCCGTGGTCCTGGACCTCTGCCGCGGCGGCGACCTCTTCGATCGCATCGTGGCGTCGGGGCGGCTGCCGGAGCGCGACGCGCGCGTCGCGACGGCGCAGCTCCTCGACGCCGTCGCGCACTGCCACGCGCTCGACGTCGCGCGCCGCCGGGCGGGAAACCAAAATTATTCAACTCGACTTGAATGTGACCGTACTCGAACGGCTTCGACACGATTTCCTCTGCCGTGCTTCGATCATTTCCACACAGGTGCACCGCGACCTCAAGCCGGAGAACATCCTCTACCTCGAGGCGCCGGGCGACCCGGACGAGGACGTGCTCAAGGTCGGCGACTTCGGGCTGGCCTGCGCGCTGCCGCCGGGCGAGGTCCTGCGCGTCGTCGCGGGCACGCCGCAGTACGCGGCGCCCGAGGTCGTGAACTCGACGCCGGACGGGCCGGGCTACGGCCACGCGTCGGACCTCTACTCGCTGGGCATGGTCTTGTACGTCATGCTCGCGGGCGTGCTGCCGGAGACGCTCGAGGAGGACCCGGCGGACACGCTCGACGGGCCCGACTTCGACGGCTGCTCGGTCGCGGCGCGCGCGCTCGTGCGCGACCTCGTCGCGCGGGACCCGGCCCAGCGGCCCACGCCCGCGGAGGCGCTCGACTCGCTCTGGTTCTCGAAGCTCGCGCGGTCCAAGAGCCTCCGGCTCGCGTCCAAGGACGCGTGGACGTCGCTGTGCCTGGACCGCCAGCGGACGGCGACGAAGGCGCGCTGGGCCGCCGTGCGCCACGCCGTCCTCGGCGTGTCGACCTTCAAGGCGCCCAAGGGCGCCCTGAAGGTCGCCGCGACCGCGCCCGCGGCCGCGGCGCGGCCGCCGGAGCCGCCGTCGCCCTCCGAGCCGGACACGCCCGAGCTCCTCCGCGCGACGCCCGCGGAGCCGGACACGCCCGAGCTCCTCCGCGCGACGCCCGCGGAGCCCGAGGTGCCGCGCGCGCTGCCCGACGTCCGCGAAGCGCCGGAGGGGAAGCCCCCGGGCAGCCCCGCCGTCGTCGCGTTCAGCCTGGGCACGCCGACGCCCCTGGACACGGGCTCCCCCCTCGCCGGCGCCGACGTCGTCGAGTTCGAGCTCGTGCCGTGATAAAATTGTTAAGTTGAAATGTTCAACAAACCGAACGTTCGACAAAAAACGTCACAGTCACGTACCGCGAAGCCGATCAAGAGCATGGCTCTTCGGCTCTGCGCGCTCAGCGCGGCCGTCGCGGCCTTCACGACCCCTCCGACGACGCAGCTGGCCCTCAAGGCCCTGCGCAGCACGTTTCTCGCAGAGCAGCCGCCCGTCGCCTCGGTCGACGGCACGTACGTGCCGGGCCAGGCGATGCGCTCTGACAGCCTCGACGCGATCCGCTCCGACGGCCGCTACATAGACGGGTGGACGCCGACGGGTGGCGCCGTCGCCGCGGCGGAGACATTGGCGGCCGTCGTGAGAGACTGGACCGGGCTGAGCGCGGCGCCGCGGGCGTACGACGCGGGCAGGGCCGCTCCGGCCAGGGCCGCCCCGGCTCGGGCCGCCCCGGCCCGGGCCGCCCCCGCCTACAGCGGCGGCGACCAGTGGGCGCCGACGGGTGACGCCGTCGCCGCGGCGGAGACGTTCGGGGCCAACATGTTCGGCGGCTTCTTCGGGAGCGGTTCTTCCTACGCCCCCGCCGCGGCCGGCCGCGCCAATGGCCGCTACGCGTCCGACGCGGGCCTCGTCAAGGGCAGGGGCCGAAACAAGTCCGAGCAGGCGGAGCGCAGAGCCAACTGGCTCTCCGGTTCCGGCCCCGCCAAGGCGCGCAAGGCCTCGGGCGTCGAGCGCGGCCCCGACGGCCGCCTTCGCGAAGCCGCGCCCAGGGCCGCCCCCGCCGCCCCCGCGGCCAGGGCCGCCCCCGCCACCCCGTCCATCGCGGGCCTCATCGGGGGCAAGGACCGAAGCAAGTCCAAGCAGGCGAAGGGTAGAGCCGCCTGGCTCTCCGGTTCCGCCGGCCGCGGCGCCAGAGGCTCGCTGGTGGCCGGGATGCGCGGCGCTTCTGAGGCTTCAAGAAAGGCCAAGGCCGCGGACGCGAGGGCCACGATGGCCGGACGGGCCGCGGACGAGGCCGCGTACGAGGCGGAGGCCGCGGCGATGGAGGCCAGGGCTCTCGCATACGCCGTGGAAGGGCCGCGCGGGGAGGAGGCCTGGTTGAGGGCGAAGGCCGCGGCGGACACGAAGGCCACGGTGGCCACAGCGGCCGCGGAAGAGGCTCAGGCGATCGCGAAGGGCGCGGCGGTCCTGAAGACCGCGGCGGACCGCGAGCGGCGCATGCGCGTCGCGCGGCTCCGCCCGAAGGTGGCGAGCCGCTTCCCGCACGTGTACGCGGCGACGGAGGCGCAGGCTGCCGCGGACGCGAGGGCTGCGGTCGCGGAAGAGGATGCGCGCGAGGCGAAGGCTGCGGCGGTCCTGCAGACCGCGGTGGACCGCGAGCGGCGCGTTCGCGTCAATCGGCTCCGCTCGAAGGTGGCGCGCAACTTCCCGCACGTCATCGAGAAGGCGTACGCGCGGGCTGCGGCGGACGCGAAGGCCATTCGCATCGCGCGGCTGTCCCCGATGGCGGCGCGCCCCTTCGCGCACCTGAAGGCCGGCGTCGCGCGGCTCCGCCCGAGCGTGGAACGCGGCTTCGCGCGGATGAAGGCCGCGGCGGACGCGAAGGCCGCGGCGGACGCGCGGCTCCCCCCGGGGGTGGCCGAGGCCGCGGCGGAGGTGGAGCTGGAGGCCGCGGCGAAGGCCTACGCGAAGGCCGTGGCGAAGGCGCCGGGCTACGTGCCGCCGCTCGGCGGCCGCGTCGCCGGATCCTTGGACGCCTTCGCGCGGGACACGCGCGCGGTTCAGCGGCTGCCGCCGCCACGCCCGGACGCGCGCGCGGGCCAGCGGCTGCCGCCGCCGCGCGCCACCTCGCCAAGGCCGCCGCCGGCGGGCGCGTTCGAGGCCAGGAGCACCTCGTCCGGGCCTCGCCAAGGACGGCAACTCCAAGTGCCCCCGCCGCGAGCAGCTCGTCCTGGCAGGCTCAGCGCGCCGCCGCGGGCGTCGCCTGCGGCCAGGAGCGCGCCGCCGCGGGCGTCGCCCGCGGCCAGGCGCCCCCCGCCCAGGGCCGCCCCCGCCAGGGCCGCCCCCGCCAGGGCCGCAAGGCCGCCCCCGCCAAGGCCGCAGCCCCTCGTCCGAAACGATCGGTCCGGGCAGGAGGTTCGAACCGCCTTGCAATCTGGTTCCGCCGCCCGCGAGGCGGCCCGCGCGGCCGCGGCCGCCGCCAAGGCCGCGGCCGGTGGCTCGATGGACCACTTCACGTCGACGGTGGGCGCGGTCAAGGGCATGGACAGAAGCGAGGCGGAGGTTCGAACCGCCTTCCAATCTGGTTCCGCCGCCCGCGAGGCGGCCCGCGCGGCCGCGGCCGCCGAGGCCGCGGCCGCGGCCGGTGGCTCGATGGACCACTTCGCGGCGACGGTGGGCGCGTTCAAGGGCAGGGACAGAAGCGTGGCGGAGCGCAACTTGCAACAATCTGGTTCCGCCGCCCGCGAGGCGGCCCGCGCGGCCGCGGCCGCCCCCGCCAAGGCCGCCGCGGCGGAGCGCAGGGCCGCCTTCGAGCGCGAGGCGGCCCGCCAGGGCGTGTCGCCGCCCGCGATCGACGACGCGCGGCGCAGCCGCAGCCCGGGCCTGCAGAACAACTTCTACGAGACCTCGACCGCCGACTTCAAGCGGCCGCTCGGCGCGCGGGCCCCGCCGCCGGGCGCGCGGGCCCCGCCGCCGCGCCCTCCCGGGCGGGGGGGCGCGATGCCGCCAAAGGCGGCGCGAGGCGCGCGCGGCGGCGCCGGCGGCAGGGGCAAGGCGCCGGGCTTCGGGGGCGCGTTCACGGGCACCGTCGGCGACACCAGGCCCAAGGGCACGAGGCCGCCCCCCGGCAAGGCCGCGAGGCCGCCCCCGCCAAGGCCGCAGCTCAAGAGCGCGTCGCCTCCGGCCAGGCCCGCGCCCGGCAAGGCCGCGAGGCCGCCCCCGCCAGGGCCGCAGCTCAAGGGCGCGTCGCCTCCGGCCAGGGCCGCGCCCGCCAGGCCCGCGCCCGCCAAGGCCGCAAGGCCGCCCCCGCCGAGGCCGCAGCTCAAGAGCGCGTCGCCTCCGGCCAGGCCCGCGCCCGCCACGCCCGCGAGGCCGCCCCCGCCAGGGCCGCAGCTCAAGAGCGCGTCGCCTCCGGCCAGGCCCGCGCCCGCCACGCCCGCGAGGCCGCCCCCGCCAGGGCCGCAGCTCAAGAGCGCGTCGCCTCCGGCCAGGCCCGCGCCCGCCACGCCCGCGAGGCCGCCCCCGCCAGGGCCGCAGCTCAAGAGCGCGTCGCCTCCGGCCAGGCCCGCGCCCGCCGCGCCCGCGAGGCCGCCCCCGCCAGGGCCGCAGATCAAGAGCGCGTCGCCTCCGGCCAGGCCCGCGCCCGCCGCGCCCGCGAGGCCGCCCCCGCCGGGGCCGCAGCTCAAGAGCGCGTCGCCTCCGGCCAAGCCCATGAGCACCTCATCCGACACTCCTGAGTGGATGAGCCAGGCGCCAGCGCCTTCGTGGAAACCTTCGAGAGCGCCTGTGGAAGGTGGTACGTGGTCCGCTTCGGCCACGCCCGCCCCGGCCACGCCCGCCCCGGTCACGCCCGCCCCGGCCACGTACGCCCCGGCCACGCCCGCCCCGGCCAGGGCCGCCCCGACCGAGGAAACCCCGGACACGGCGGTCACCGACGGCTTCATGAACCACTTTGCGTCGACGGCGGGCACGTTCAAGGGCAAGAAGGACGCCGACTCCAAGCCCACGAGCACCTCGTCCGACACTCCTGAGTGGATGACCGCGGCGCCGGCGCCTACGTGGCAACCCTCGAGGGCGCCTGTGGAAGGCGGCACGTGGTCCGCTTCGGCCACGCCCGCCCCGGGAACGTCTGGTACGGCGCTCTATGCCAAGCCGCCCGGCCAGGCCGATGATGCCCCCGACACGGCGCTCTATGCCAAGCCGCCCGGCCAGGCCGATGATGCCCCCGACACGGCGCTCTATGCCAAGCCGCCCGGCCAGGCCGATGATGCCCCCGACACGGCGCTCTATGCCAAGCCGCCCGGCCAGGCCGATGATGCCCCCGACAGGACGGGAAGGTCTGGTACGGCGCTCGAGGCGAGGGTCGCCCAGGCCGATGATACCCCCGACACGGCGGTCACCGACGGCTTCATGAACCACTTCGCGTCGACGGCGGGCACGTTCAAGGGCAAGAAGGACGACGACTCCAACGACTCCAAGCCCAAGAGCACCTCGTCCGACACTCCTGAGTGGATGACCGCGGCGCCGGCGCCTACGTGGAAACCTTCGAGGGCGCCCGTTGAAGGCGGCACGTGGCAGGCTTCGGCCACGCCCGCTCCGGCCACGCCCGCCCCGGCCACGCCCGCCCCGGCCGCGTTCACCCCGGCCACGTCCGCCCCGGCCCCGTTCACCCCGGCCACGTCCACCCCGGCCCCGTTCACCCCGGCCACGTCCGCCCCGGCCACGCCCGCGCCGGCCACGCCCGCCCCGGCCAGGGCCAGGCTCGCGCCGGCCGAGGAAACCCCCGACGCGGCCGTGACCGACGGCTTCATGAACCACTTCGCGTCGACGGCGGGCACGTTCCAGGGCAAGAAAGAAGCCAACCCCAAGCCCGCGAGCACCTCGACCGACACTCCTGAGTGGATGAGCCAGGCGCCGGCGCCTTCGTGGAAACCTTCGAGAGCGCCTGTGGAAGGCGGCACGTGGCAGGCTTCGGCCACGCCCGCCCCGGCTACGTTCGCCCCGGCCACGCCCGCCCCGGCCACGCCCGCGCCGCCAAGGCCGCAGCTCAAGGCCTCGCCCGCGCCGCCAAGGCCGCAGGTCAAGGCCTCGCCCGCCCCGCCAAGGCCGCAGGTCAAGGCCGCGCCCGCCCCGCCAAGGCCGCAGGTCAAGGCCGCGCCCGCCCCGCCAAGGCCGCAGAGCCAGGCGCCGGCGCCTACGTGGACTCCTACGAGGAAGCCTGCGGCAGGCGGCACCTACACGCCCGCCCCGGCCACGCCCGCGCCCGGCCGCGTCGCGCGCGGCCCTGACGGTCGCCTTCGCGAAGGGGGCGCCACGGCCGGCGGCGGCATCTCGACGAGAAACGGCGCGGCGCCCCAGGCGTCGCCCGCCGAACTCCCGCTTCATCCGAGCTTCAACGAGCCACGCTCCAATTCGGCCGCGCCGCGTGCGGCCACGCGGGCCCCGGCCGCGGCCCGCGATTTCCCGTCGACGGCGGGCGCGTTCGAGAGCCAGGCCATGAACGACAACTTCAGGGCCATTGGCCCCTCGTCCCGCACTGATCGGCTGAACGCGGCGCCACCGGCGTCGCCTGCGGCCAGGGCTGCCCCGGCCACGGCCGCCGCCGGCGGCAACATGGATTACTCGTCGACGGCGGGCGAGTTCACGAGCAACGCCATGGGCGCCTCGTCCGGGCGTGACCGGCTCGGCTCGGCCCCGCAGGCGCCCTTTGGCGCGCCGCCGCAGGCGCCCTTTGGCGCGTCGCCGCAGGCGTCCTTTGGCGCGCCGCCGCAGGCGCCCTTTGGCGCGCCGCTCGGGCGTGACCGGCTCGGCTCGGCCCCGCAGGCGCCCTTTGGCGCGCCGCTCGCGGCGTACGTCCCCAACGACGCTGACAGCGGCACGATGGACGCCCTGCAGGACGAGGTCCTAGCGACCGAGGAGCTTCTGCGGCGCCTGAGGGCGACCCAGGCCGCCTTCGCCGCGGACGAGGCGTTCAAGGCGGACATGGCGTTCGCAGAGGCGTCGGCGAGAGAGAGACTGGAGGTGGCGCCGGTACACCGCTCGCTCGGCTCGGCGCAATTTCGGACGTCGCGCGAGGCCGAGGAGGCGGCGCCGGAACGCCGCTCGCTCTTCTCGCTCATCAAGGAGCACGGCCCGAGACTGGGGCGCCAACTGTACGAAGCGGGCGAGACGGCCCCGGCGCCGGTCGACCTACCCGCCGTCGCCCGCTCTACCTACGGCCAGTCGTCCTTCGGCCAGCCGCCGCCGTCGCCGGCGCGCGCCGCCGCCGTCCGCCCTACCTACGCGTCGTCGACCTACGGCGCGTCGTCCTACGGCGCGTCGTCCTACGGCCAGCAGCCCTACGGCCAGCGGCTCTTCGATGATGAGTCGTCGGAGTACGAGACTGAGGAGGAGCGTCGGCGGCGCCTGAAGGAGGCCTGGGTCGCCGTCGCCCGACCGCCGCCTCTCGAGCCCGCGGCGCCGGAACGCCGCTCGCTCGGCTCGCTCATCAAGGAGCACGGCCCAAAGATGGGACGCATACTGTACAAAGCGGGCGAGGAGGCCGGATCTGCCTACGGCCAGTCGTCCTACGGCCAGCCGTCCTACGGCCAGCCGTCCTACGGTCAGCCGTCCTACGGCCAGCCGCCGCCGTCCTACGGCGCGTCGCCCTACGGCCAGCAGCCGCCGTCGCCCTACGGCGCGGGCGGCCCAAACCGCGACTCGCTCGAGACGGAGCTGGCGCGGATCCGGAGCGATTTCCCGGCCGGGGGCTCCCACGCTGATCTTCTGAACGGCCTCGTCGCCGCCGCGTTGTCCCGCGGCCAGCAGCCCTACGGCCAGCAGCCCTACGGCCAGCCGTCGCCGCCGCTCTACGGCGCGTCGTCCTACGGCCAGCAGGCGCGGTCCTACCAGCTGCCGCCGGTACCCCACTCGCTCGGCGCGCTGCAGCCGCCGGCACCCCGCTCGCTCGGCGCGCTCATCAAGGAGCACGGCCCGAAGATGGGCCGCGCGCTGTACATGGGGGGGCAGGGGGCCGCCCCGGCGATGGCGCCCGGCGCCTTCGCCCTCTCTCCCGTGCAACAGTCGTCCTACGGCCAGCCGCCGCCGCCGCCCTACGGCGCGTCGTCCTACGGCCAGTCCTACGGCCAGCCGCCGCCGCTCTACGGCCAGTCGTCCTACGGCCAGCAGCCGCCGTCGCCCTACGGCGCGGGCGGCCCAAACCGCGGCTCGCTCGAGGCGGAGCTGGCGCGGATCCGGAGCGACTTCCCGGCCACCGCCCCCCAAGAGCCCGCGTTCGCCCAAGATAGATGGACATAATGCGCCCGCGGGACGAGTCTTGGGGCAAGGGCCGGTAACCGTCCTCCGCCCGAGTCCATCGCGCTCGCGAGCCTGAGTAGAGGTCGCAAGGCCGACGTTGAAGGAGGAACCACCGTTTTGTGAAGTGAGGCAGCGCCGTGATGATGGGGCTGCCCACCTCTCTCCGGCGGAGACGGCGGCGCCGCGCGCCGCCCTAGGCGCCCGCGTACCGACATAAAGAGCGATGGGCCGCGAGAGCAACGCGTCGATCAACGAGGACGACGAGGGCGCGCCGACGCGCGCGCGGCGCACGCAATGGGCCCTGTCCGCGGAGCAGGAGGAGGCCTGCGTCTTCCGCGAGGACGAGGACGCGACCATGTTCGCGAACAACGAGGCCTTCGCCCTGGCGAAGATGAACTACGTGCAGCTCATCGGCGAGGTCGAGCCCGTCGAGGACCGCGAGGAGGCCGTCGCGGCGCGGCCGAAGACGGATTTGCAGCGGCAGGTGGACCACAAGCGGAGCAAGTTCGAGGGCCAGAACACGAACTTCGCGGCGCAGACGACGCGCAACGAGCTGCGGCGGTGGCAGGAGACGAACCGGACCAACGGCCCGGCGAACAAGCGGCTCCTCGAGCGCGAGGCCCTCGCGATCGAGAACAGCGCGGGCGACGACGACCTCAAGGCGATGAAGCGCGCGGAGCTCAAGGCGAAGATGGAGACCATGGGCCTGCTCACGGAGAAGAAGCCCAAGAAGGTCAAGGAGCAGCTCGACCCGGACGTGAACTACACCTTCGCCGGCTGGGACCCGCGCGTCGAGTCGTTCCCGTGCCCGTCCGGCGACCAGCGGCTCCCGAGCGAGGGGCCGGCCTTCCTGCGGGTGCTGGACCGCAAGGCGGCCTTCGAGCGCGAGACGGCGAACCAGTCCGCGGCGTCGCGGGAGCTCGACAGGGAGCTCGAGCACGGCACGCTGGCCAAGGTCGTCAACTGTGTGGAAATCAACCACTGGTTTGGGGGGTCCCCACCAAACTTCAGAACTCTCTATCTCGGTCAAATCGACGTCGATTCGGCTGATTTTTGGACGAATCGATTGCTCTCGTCGAGTTCTCGAAGCATAGAAGAAGATCTTGCGTCGAAACCGTCTCATACGCTCACATTGAAGTCGGGTTGAAGATTTGGTTTCCACACAGGTCGTCAAGGACCGGCGCATGGTCCGCGTCCGCGAGTACTTCAACACGCAGGTCAAGTCCCACGAGGAGGAGGCCATCGACGGCGTCGTCTTGGACAAGGCGGAGCGGAAGCGGCGCAAGCTCCTGGCCAAGGCGCGGCGCAAGCGCCTCAAGGAGAACCCGCACAACCTGGACTGGGGGTCGAGCCGCATGAAGCGGTCCGCGCTCGGCAAGTGCCTCAACCGCGTCGCCGCCTGCGGCCGGTCCGCGGGCAAAGCGGCCTACGACAGGGCGCGGGGCCGCAAGAAGGTCAAGGTCCAGTACGACCCCACGGGCGGCGGCAGCCCGCGGTCCGAGAGCTCCGAGTCGACGCGGCGGTCGGAGTCGTCCCGCGGCGCTGCGCGGCCGTCGCTCGCCCAGACGCTGCGGGGCCTCCCCGCGGCGGCCTACGCCTCCGTGCGCGCCGCGACGCCGCCCCTCGCCGCGACGCTCCGCGCCGCGACGCCCGAGCGCTTCCGCCGGCCGCGTCCGGGCTCGCCGGGCGACGCGCCGAAGACGGCGCCCGCGCCGACGTCGCGGTCCCCGACGACGCGCGGCGCGCAGCCCGTCTTCCCGCGCAAGCGGCGCAAGAGCCGCACGCTCTTTTCCGCGCCCGCGGGGCTCGGCGACGGCGCGAGCGAGGCGACGGACGGCTCGTCGCTCACGTCGGAGCGGCCCGCGGGCGTCCCGGGCCCGCGCGGCGGCCGGAACAAGCAGAAGCGCAAAAAGTCCGCGGCGTCCGCCGCGAGCGACGCGCCCGCGGGCACCTACGAGTGCGAGAAGGGCTGCGGCTTCCGCGGCGGCTTCGACGACGTCGCCGCGCACGAGGCGACGTGCGCCTACGACCCCGCGGACTACACCGACGGGTCCACCGTCGCGACGAACGAGTCCAAGTCCAAGCTCTACGAGTGCGAGCGGGGCTGCGGCTTCCGCGGCGACTTCGAGGGCGTGTCGCGCCACGAGAAGACGTGCGCGTTCGAGCGGCCGGGCGTCGCCGCGGTCGAGGCGGACGTCCCGCCGCCGGCGGACCCGGACCCGGCGTCGTCGTCGAACCTGAACAACCCGCTCCTCTTCGAGTGCGAGCGCGACTGCGGCTTCCGGGGCAGCCACGCGGAGGTGGCGGCGCACGAGAAGACGTGCGCCTTCGGCGACGACGAGTCGGACGTCGGCTCCGAGGACAGCGCGGGGACCGTCGCGCGGAAGAAGGCCAAGCAGAAGGCCAAGGCCGACGCGGCGAAGCTGAAGAAGAAGGAGGACCTGCGCAAGAGCGGCGGCTTCGCGGGCGCGGCGAGCCGCCGCGCGTCCGCGCTCGGGCGGAAGCTGCCGTCCGTGGCCAACCTCAAGAATTTGAGGATCACGGCGAAGAACTTCAAGGGCCTCAACTTCGGGTCCCTCGGCACGCGCGGCTTCGGCTCCCTGCGGCCCGTCATGTCGCGCTTCCAGCCGCGGAAGACGCTCAACCCGAGCCTCCGCGTCTTCTCGCGGAACGTCGTCGAGCCCGGCGCGCAGCTCCGCCAGGTCGTCGACAGCACGCCCGTCTACAAGCCGCTGCCCGGCGCCGCCGCGCCGCCGCCGCCCGGGTCGTCGCCCGCGTCGTCGCCCGCGAAGTCGCCCCCGAAGTCGCCCCCGAAGTCGCCGCTCCGCGCCGGCCGGAAGAAGAAGCGCGCGCGGACCGCGCCCGCGGCGGCCGGCGGCGACGCCGACGACCTCGGCGCCGACCCGGCGACGCCGCCGGCGACGACGACGCCCGGGTCGCGCCGCGAGCGGCGGAACCGGAAGCGGCGCGCGGAGGAGAAGGACGAGCCCGAGGGCTTCGTGCCGCCGCCCCTCGACGGCGACGAGGAGACCAAGGAGGAGTCGGCGGCGCGGTCCGTCCACTTTGGCGACGGCGACGGGCGCCGGGCCTCCAAGAACGTCGCGACCGCGGGCCTCGCGCCGCTCGCCGCCGCGGCCGGCGACGAGGCGCCGCCGCCGCGGTCGCGGTGCCGCCGCTTCTGCTGCTGCTGCTGCCCGCGGAGAAAGCGCGACGGCGAGCCGTCGACCTACAAGCGGAGCGCCATGTCCGAGGCGAACATGTCCTTCGAGGAGAAGCTCGCCGCGCGCGCGGAGCGGAAGCGGCGGCGCACGTGCGCCTACCAGCTCGCGCGCTGCTACCGCAACGTCTGCAAGGGCTCCTGCCGCTACCCGACCATCGAGGACGCGCGCAAGGTCCAGCGCTTCTTCGAGTACCTCTACTCCTTCGTCGGCATCCCCAAGCCCGTGCTCTGGTGCCTGCTCGGCGGCATCAACGCGTGCGGCGCCGCGTACGACGCCGTGGCCCTGCGCGTCGCCAAGGTCTTCTTCGCGGGCAAGCTCGTCTACCGCGCGGCCAAGCTCTGCTGGAACCACGAGCCCCAGTACGACTACGACGACCTGCTCGCCGCGGTCACGGAGGGCCGCGTCGACGACCTCCGCTTCATCTTCCTCGACAAGTACAGCGGCCTCCAGGTCGAGGAGACGACGCTCGACGGGCGCACCATGCTCTTCGTCGCCATCGAGCGCCAGCTCCAGCACGAGTTCAGCCTGCGGGAGGAGCTCGACCGCCTCGCGCGCGCGGAGCGCGTGTCGCCGGGCCTCTTCTTCATGTCGCGGAAGCAGCAGATCGTCGAGCTCGAGGACGTCGAGGTCGAGCAGCGGCGCAACGAGGCGGCCCAGGCCGCCGAGGAGGAGGAGCGCGAGAAGGCGGAGATCAAGGCCGCGCGCAAGGACAAGGTCAAGAGCCACGCGACCAAAATGCTCATCGAGAAGCACAAGGCCAAGAAGAAGAAGAAGACGAAGGCCGAGAAGCTCAAGGAGGAGGGCCTCAAGCCGCCGACGCCCCTGGACCTCATCAAAAAATCCGAGAAGCTCACGAAGACCGCCGAGTACCTCGTCGGCAAGGGCGCGGACATCAACACGCAGCAGGACCCGCGGCGCCACGCTGTGTGCAAATCAAATCATCAACCCGACTTCAATGTGAGCGTATTCGAATGTTTTGACACAAGCTCTTCGGCTGGGCTTCGAGAACTTGACGAGAGCGATCGATCCATCCAAAAATCAGCCGAATCGACTTCGATTTGACCGAGCTAGAGAATTCTCAAGTTTGGCCCCGACGTCCCAGCTCACTGGTTGATTTGCACACAGGCGCCACGAGGGCACGGGCTGGGGCGTGCTCCACCACGCGGCCGTCGCCGGCAACGTCGACAAGATCCGCTGGGTCATGGGCAAGGGCGCCATCGTCGACCTCGCGACGGAGGAGGGCGAGACGCCGCTCATGATGGCCGCGCTCGCGGGCGCGACGCGCGGCGTCCAGATCCTGCTCGAGTACAACGCGTCCGTGACCAAGACCTGCTTCAAGGGCTACACGGCGCTCCACTACGCGGGCTCCGTCGGCGCGCTCGACTGCGCCGCGCTCCTCCTCCGCGCGGGCGCGAACAAGCGCGCGCGCACGCTGGGGGACGTGAAGTCGCCGTCGGACCTCGCCAAGGACAAGGGCCACACGGACACGTTCAGCCTCATCAAGCTCTACAAGGAGCCCGCCGTGCCCGTCCGCGAGGTCTTCGACGCCATGCTCAAGTCGGGCAAGGCCGGGGGGGTCGAGAGGTAATGTTGCGCGGAGGCACGACCCTTATCAACAGGCGGGGTAGGCGAGCCCCGCGACGCACGTCGGCGAGCCCGCGGCCGCGTCGAAGAGCGCCGCGAGCCGCGCGGCGAGGTCCTTCGTCGCGCCGCGGTTCGGCGCGCCGCACCACGTGAGCGCGTTGTGGAGCGTCTTCCAGCCGAGCTTGGCGAGGCACGCCGCGGACGCGTCGTCGCCGACGCAGATCATGCGGCGGACCTCGTCCGCGGCGTAGTCCGTCCGCGGCGCGGGCGCGACGCAGCGCCGCCGCTGCAAGAAAACCAACGCCGCGTCCTGGAGGATCGCCGCGGCGGCGTGGCGCGGGTCCCGCCGCGCCGCGGCGGCGTCGAAGGCGCCGAGGAGCCGCGCGGCGAGGTCCGCCGTCGCGCCCCTTCCCGGCAGGCCCTGGGCCTCGAGCTCCGCGTGGAGCTTCTTCCATCCCAGCGCCTCGAGGGCCGAAACGCCGAGCCGCCGGCCGCCGAGGGCCCGGTACGCCGCGAGGAGCCGCCGGTCGTCGTCGCCGACGTCGGCGACGACGGCGGGCGGCCGCGCGGGCGTCTCGGGCGCCGCGCGCGACGCGACGACGTCCGCGTCCTCGACGGGCAGCATGGGGCCCTCGCCGCCGCCGCCGGGCGTCGGCCGCGGCGCGTGCGCGGCGTCGCGCGCGTCGTCGGCGTCGACGGCGCTCTCGACGGCGTCCGCGAGGCACGCGCTCGCGTAGGTCCGGAGCGTCGACGCGCCGTCGTCGTCGCCGCGGCCGCCGTCGCCGTCCTCCTCGTCGTGGCCATCATCCTCCTCGTCCTCAGCGCGTTCGAGGGCATCGCCATCGCCGGCGTCCGCGGCGAGCCGGAGCCGCGGCGCGGCGCCCTCCCCGTCGTCGACGAGCGCGAGCGCCGCGCCTCCGCGGAGCCGCGCCGCGTCGCCGCCGTTGAGCCGGACGAACGCCGCGAGGTCCGGCGCGCCCGGCGACGCGACGAGCGCGGGCGCGGACTCGCTCGTGCGCACGGTGGACGCGAGCGCCGCCCGGCGCGGCTCCGGCGCCGACGCCGTCGTCAGGTCCGAAACGGCGGACGACGCCGTGTCGCCCGGCTGCGCCGCGGCGGCGACGGCGACGCGGCCCGGCCGCGCGGGCCGCCGCGGCCGCCGCGCGCCCGGCGGCGGCGCGGGCCCCGTCGCCGGCCGCGCCGGCGGCGCCGGCTGGGCCTCGCGCGCGCGCCGGTGCTTCGGCGGCGGGGGCTCGCCGGGCGACGCCCGGACGTCCGGCAGCGACGGCGTCGGCGCGGTCCCGGGCCGCCTCCCGGGCCGCCGCTGCGGCGCGCCGCACTCGTAGATGGCCTTGGTCCGCCCGGACCGGTCGCGCCGCGCCGCGGCGCCGTCGAGCGCGTCGCGCCAGGCCGGGCCGGGCCGGTGGAACGCCTTGAGCGGCCGCGGCGCGGCGCGCGGCGACGGCGCCGCGTCGGCGGCGAAGGCGAGCGCGAGGAGCTTCTCGTCGAGCGCCGGGTCCGCCGCGACCGGCGGCGCGGCCGGCGGCGCCGCGGCCGGCGGCGGCGCCTTGCGCTCCGCGCGCAGCTCCTGGGACGCCTCGCCTTGCAAAATGTCGGCGACGACCTCCGCCGTGCTGGGCCTTTTGAAGATCGCGCCGGCGTGGAGCTTCCGCGCGGCCTGGCCGCCTTTGCACCTGGCGCCCGCGGCGCCCCGGATCGCGCCGCGGCGCGCCGGCGACCGGCTGCGGGCGCGCATGCTGGATTCTAACGATGGCTGGGCTGCCCCGGTATGTTAGTTTGTGTGAAGTTCAAGCGTCTGTGGTTGACCCTGGCGAGGCGCCGCGCCCGCGCACCATCACACCACGGCGCCGCTGCTGCTCCGACTGCTCTTGCTGGCGCCGACCGCCGCCGGGCTGAAACCGGTCATGGACGGCGCCGAGGCGCTCTCGCTGGCGAAGCGCGCCTGTCCGCAGTTCGCCTCCGCCGGCCTGAAACCGCTCGACCCGTCGTCGATCACCAAGGTCGAGACGCGGTCCGTCGCGCGGCTCTGGGCCGGCATGGGGTCCGTCGTCGAGCTGCGCGTCAAGGCCGGCGAGGACACCGCGGCGACGATCATGGTGAAGAAGGTCACGCTGCCGAAGCGCTGCGCGAGCATCGGCGACCGGCGGAAGAAGGCGTCCTACGAGGTCGAGTGCAACTTCTACGAGAAGTACGCGGCCGAGGTCGCCGCCGCGGGCTGCGCGTGCCCGCGGCCCCTGCTCGTCGAGCGCCGCGGCACCGAGGGCGTGACCATCGTCATGACGAAGCTCGTCGGCTCGTCCGCGCCCATGGACGGCGCCCGGAGCCGCCGCGTGCTCTCGGGCCTCGCGAAGCTGCACGCGCTCTTCTGGGGCGCCGCGGCCGACGCGGCCGTCGCCGGCGGCCTCGCGGCGCAGGGCGAGTACTGGTACCTCGACACGCGGCCCGACGAGCACGCCGCCATGCCGAAAAAGGGCTGGGAGGGGCGGCTGCGGCTGGCGGCGCGCGCCATCGACGACCGGTTGAAGTCCGACAGTAGCCAGACGATCGTCCACGGCGACGCCAAGTCGGCGAACATCATCTTCGCCGCGGACGGCGAGCCGCTTTTCTACGACTTCCAGTACGTGGGCAAGGCCTGCTGCGCGAAGGATTTGGCCTACTGCCTCTGCTGCTGCTGCGACGACGCCGACGACGAGGCGGCGCTCGTCGCGCACTACCGCGCGGAGCTCGCGGCCGCGCTCGGCGCCGCCGCGGCGCCGTCCCGGGAGGCGCTCGACGACGCGCTGCTGCTGGCCTACGCGGACCTTGGCCGGTGGATGTCCGGCTGGGGCTGGTGGGGGCACGATCTGGAATCGAAGATCAGGGTCGTCCTGGACCGCCTCGACGGCGGCGCGGCGCTCGCGTCGGAGGCGGACTACGCGGCCGCGATGGAGAAGGCGTTCCCGATCCGTGCCGGTTAAGGGCGGCTGATTAGTACTCGGAGTCGCGCGCGCAGCGCCAGAACCGGAGCACGTACATGAAGACGTCGTCGGGAATTTTGAGGTCGAGGAACAGCTGGGCTTTCGGGCCCGTGTAGAGGCCCGTGTCGAGGAACAGGCGGCCTTGCGGGCTCGTGTGGGGCCGCGTCTGCAGCTCGTGGCGGAGCTTGAGGAGCTCTCGGCGCGGGGCAGCGACGTAGGCGGCCCAGCCGCCGGCCGCGCGGACGTCGGCGAGGAGCTTCGCGAAGCCCATGCGAGTGTAGCGTCGCGCGAGGGTCTCGGCATCGAAACCGGAGGCGGTGACCGCGTCGATTGACGCGCCGCGGCTGAGGAGCAGCTTGCACATTTCTACGTCACAGCGACCGGTCATGGCGTCGCGCCCGCTCACGGCGGCTCTATGGAGCGCGGTCCACTCGAGGTACTGAGAAACTTGATCACGCGCGTTGACGTTAGCGCCGGCGTCGAGCAGGAGGGCCGCGGCACGGCATCGGCAGCCGATGGCGGCGGCGTGCAGCGGTATCCCGCGGCGCAACCGCCGGCGCCTCACGAGAGCGTCCATGTCGCGGTCCCCTCTTTTGTGCCATTCTAAGCTGGCACCGTGGTCCAAGAGCAATCGAATGCCCGAGAGGTACCCATGTTTCGCTGCGTGATACAGGCGCGAGCGGCTTGTAGCTTCGCCGACCGCTAACCCTTCGCGACCCTGAGTGCGAGCATCGACGTCGCCGCCAGAGCGCAACCACGCCCGCGCTTCGTCCAGAAAGGCGCGTTCCTCGCAGCTTTCGTCCATCGTTCGCGGGCGAGGGTAGAAAGTGCAGTAAATATAATGGGCAGCATCAACCCAGCTGTTCCACGAAGGACGTGAAGGATGGGGAAGCCAGGGCAGCCCACGCTCTTCCTGTTCGCGGCTCTGGCGGCGGTGGCGCGCGCGTACAATGCGAGCGACTTCTCCTTGACGGGGACTTTCGGCTACGAGTACACGACCTACAACACGCAGCTGCTGGCGGACCTCTTCGCGGACTACGACCGCTTCGCGCTCGCGAACAACGCGAATAAGTCGGACGTCACCTGGGGCGCGAGCGGCACGGAGGTCATGCTAGAGATCCGCATCTACAGCGTGCAGCACGTCGACACGAAGAGCGGGTCCATGGAGCTGAAGGTCTGGATGAACATGATGTGGCGCGACGACCGCCTCCGGTGGAACGCGAGCGACTACGGCGGCGCCGACATCATGATCGTCCCCGCGACGGGCGACGACGCGCTCATCTGGACGCCGGACATCATCGTCTATAACGGCGAGGGCAACGCGCCCGTGGCGCCGCCCGGCGTCCGTAGTTCCGATGCGAGGCCAGCCTGGAAAACGCACCCCTAGGACTGGGAGGGCCCGTTCGACGCGACGGTCTACGCCGACGGCCGCGTCTACTACTCGCGGCCGGGCCTGATCAAGGTCCTGTGCAAATACAGCGGTTTGGTCGCGCGCGCGGCCGGCGCGAGCGGGACGTCCCGCGGCTCGGGACGCGCGGCGACGCAGGTTCCCCTACGACAAGCTCAAGGCGACCATCGACCTCGGGAGCTGGTCGTTCCCGGGCGCGCCGCGCGGCGTCTCCGCGCCGTCGCGGCTCGAGATCGCGCGCGGTCCTAGGCAACATCATCGGCATCATCCCGTTCGGGGACGATCGCCCCTACGCCGTCGAGCAGGAGACCGGCCGGACGACGGGCAACAGCTACAGCGAGTTCGCGATCCACCGGCTCCACTCGCGCCGCGCCCGCGCCGGCGCGTCGGCGCCCGCGGTCACGGTCGGCACGCAGGTACAAGACGGACATCTACTACAGCATTTCGCCGTTCCCGTTCCCCGTGGTGACGATCACCATCGACCTCGACCGCGCGAGTTCGCACTTCCTGCTCCAGTTCGTCGTGCCGGGCCTCGCGCTGACGCTCATGAGCTTCCTGCCCATGGCCATGGCGCCGGACGCGGGCGAGCGCATCGGCTTCGCGATCACGCTCGTGCTCGTCTACGCCGCGAACAATATCGCCATGAACGAGTCAGCGTCCTGCGGCCGTCACGATTTTCGAGAGGTTTTGACCGGGAAAACGATGAAAAATCGTCACCGACGTGCTTGGTAGGAACGAATACATCCCCATCTGCCACGAGCTCCTGTGGATCCAGGTCTTCGACAACGTCAACCTCGGCGTCGCGCTCCTCGCGCTCCTCCAGTCCGTGTTCATCCTCTGGTGCTTCTACCAGCCGAGCAAGTGCCTCTTCCTCGCGCGGGTCTGCGCCGCGGTGACGCCGAAGAACGGGCTCCGGGACTCCGGCGCGGACGCGCTCCGGCCCCGGTGCTCGAGCGACGCCGCGGGGCTCGAGCGCGACGCCGTCGTCGCCTCCAAGGCGCCTCCGCCGCGCCTTGGAGGCGACGCCTCGCGCGACGACGCCATGTCCTTCGCCGCGGAGGACCTCACCGACGTCCGCGCCGTCGAGGCCGGCGAGGAGCCGCCCTTCGCCTGCGGCTGCGTCGGGTCGCCCGACGCGCCGCCGCCGCGGCGCGAGAGCCGGCCGCCGCCGCCCTGGGAGCTGCCCCCCGCGGACTTCGACGGCGACGGCGCGCGCGCGGCCCTCGGCGACGACGAGGACGACCACGAGGCCACGCGACGCCTGACGCTCTACGAGGCCTGCTGGGAGAAGCTCAGCGACGACGGCGCCTTCGCCGCGGACCTGCCCCGCGCGGACGTCGCCGCGTGGCTCACCTACGCGGCCATGCACCTGCCGTCGCCGCGGCGGGCCGCGCTCCTCGGCGGCTACGGGCCGTCCGTGGCCGAGCACGACTTCCCGCGCCTCTGCTGCGACGCGCTCCGCGGCGTGCCGGCGGACGTCGTCGAGGCGACGACGGACCTCTACCTCGCGAAGCGCGCGAAGCGCCACCGCGTCATGGCGCGCGCGGTCACGGACGCCGTCGACGGCGCCTGCCTCTTCGTCTTCCCGCTCTGCTACGGCGTCGCCATGATCATCCTCTTCAACGTCGAGTTCCGCGACAGCTACGCCGACGTCGACGACGGCGAGGTCCTCGAGCCCAACTTCCACGCGGGCGAGATCGCCCTCAAGAGCTGCGTCTTCGTCTTCGCGCTCCTCGCCGCGACGGCGGTCTACCACAAAGCGCCCGACGTGCGAGCGTGATAAGCGCGCTAGGGCTTAGGCGTCCTAGGCTGCTCCTACGATCCGCCCTCCGGCGCCCAGTGCGTCGCGACCTCGGCGAGGACCTCGCGTGGGAGCGCGTCGCCGAAGCACTTCGCGAGAATCGACACGAGCACGCCGCGGTGGTGGCGGACGAAGCCCGCCCAGTCAGCGGTGCGTAGGAAGCGTTCGACGAGGAGCAATGCGGGGGGATCGGGGGCGAAATCGGGGATATCGGTGTGGATCTGCTCGAGTAGATCTCTCGTAAGTAAACCGCCAGCTCTAAGGAGGTTGAGGAGGATGCCGCGATGTCCATTATAGATAGCAATGTAGACGGGCGACCACTTGGAATGCTCTCCTACCGCCTGGTCCGCCTGGTTGACGTCCGCGCCGCCCGCAATTAGCACAGCGACCGCGCCAGGTAATTGTCTCCTTACCGCGATGGTCAGAGGTGTTATTACCATCCCTTGGAAGTCAAGGTGAGAATTCGCGTCGGCTCCGGCGTCAATGAGAAACTGGAAGAGCGCCGTACTGCGTGCTTTGACGACTGCATGGAGGAGCAGCGGAGGATCTAGATCTACTTCTGGGTCGTTAGCCCGTACGCACTCTAGATCTATGTCGTCGCCGGCGTTGATTGCGCGTCTGAGAGCGCCTACATCGTCGGCTTCGATAGCCGCCCGCAAGGCTTCATCAACCGCCACCGAATTCGGCATCGATTGCTCGCGAGCACCACGGCTCTCCCCTCGGGGCCCTCCCGCTCGCCAACTTTTTTGTGGCACAAGCCTCCCTTAGGCAAATTGAAATCCGACGGTGCGAGGTCATATGTCCACGCCCGGAGCTCTCTAAGCGAGGTTCTCGTGGCTAGGCACTACCGGTCGGCGGCCTCGGCGGCAGCCGCGCGCTCTCGGCGCCCCGGGCGAGCAGGGCCGCCTCCGCGGCGACGAAGGACGCCGCGAGGGCCCCGCGGCGCGTGTCCGGCGGCGGCGGCGCGGCCCGGCGCCGGGCGAGCGCCGCCTCGCAGAGCGCGGCGAGGCCGTCGCGCGCGCGCGCGCCGTGGCCCGCGTCGCGCGGCGTCCACGCGGCGTGGTCCGCCGTCGACGCGCGCATGAGGTGCGCCGCGTCGGCCTTGTCCGCCGTCGCGGCGAGCAGGGCCGCGGCGAGCGCGGCGTCGGGCGCGGCGCCGCCGCCGGCGCCGCGGACGACCGCGCCGCGCCACGTCGCGGGCCCGCTCCGGGGCACGCGCGCGCCGTCGAGGAGCCGCGCGAGGAGCGCCGCGAGCTTCGCGTCCACACCCAGCGGCAGGGCCACGTCGAGCGCGATGTCGTCGACGAGGAAGCCCTCCGGCAAGAAGCCGCTGTGGATCAGGAGCTCCGCGGCGGACCGGTCGCCGTAGCGCATGCGGAGCTCCGCGCCCTCGGGCACGTCGCGCGCCGCGCGGAGCTCGAGGTAGGCGCCGCCGCCCGGGCGCAGGACGAACTCCGACGTCCCGCCGTCGGGGTCGTGGTTGCACATGTCCCACAGCGGCACGAGCGCGAGCGCCGGCGGCGCCGTCGGCGCCGCCGCGTCGGGCACGGCGTTCTGGCGCGTCACGACGGCGCCCAGGGCCCAGGCCCAGGCGGCGTAGGTGAACCCCGACAACTCGCCGTGGAGCGGGCCGCCCTTCTGCGCCGCTTTCCAGACGTCGCAGAACGCGCGCGCCCCGGCGACGCGGCCCGAGACCGCGCGGCGGAGCTGGGGCGACGGCCGCAGCACCGCGAGCTCGGCCACGGTCCAGAAGAGGGGCGTGTCGTAGGTCGGCGGGAGCGCGTCGAGGTAGGCGCGCCAGGGCGACGCCGCGCCCGCCGCGCGCTCGCGCGCGACGCGGACCGCGAGCGCGACCGTCGCGTTTTTGGCGCCGAGGCCCGACGTTTCGAGGAACGCGCCGACGGCGTCGCCGCCGGCGGCGACCAGCATGGCGCGCCGCGGCACGGCGAAGACGAGGGCGCCCGCGGCGACGGCGCCCGCGGCGACGACGGCCGTCTGGTCGGATCCGCCGAACGCGTCGAGCGTCGCGCGGTCGTGGCGCTCGACGCCGCGCTCGGCGCCCCAGGCCAGGAGGGCGCTGCGCGCCGCGCCGCGGTCGCCCGCGGCCGGCGCCGCGGGCTGGGCCGCGGCGAGCGCGTCGACGGCGGCGGCGAGGCTGGTGGCGGCCTTCAGCAGACCGTCGGCGTCAGCTCCCGGGTCGACGGCGCGGCAGGCGGCCGCGACGGCGTCGACGAGGGCCGCTTCGCTTCGGGGTTTGCCGTTTTGCTTCTTCTTGCTGCCCATGGCTGCGACGGCGGCGGCCGAGCTAGTGGCTTTTACCACAGGCTGGCTAGGCCATCGCGAGAGAGGCCGGACCGGAGCTCCGCCGACTTTGGTGATGCCGATGGCAGCGGCGCGTGAGTGAAACGCCATGGCTCTAGAACAAGCCACGAGGCACATCGAGCAGGCGGTGAAGGAGGTCGAGGCGGCCACCAGTGCCGAGTCCCGCCTCGCGGCCTCGAAGAAGTGCTACCGCGCCGTCTGGGAGCTCCGCGGCGCCCTCCGCGACGTGCACGCGCTCGGCCCGCTGCGCGAAAACAGCGCGCAGGCCAAGGCCTGGGACGCGCTCGAGGCGCTGCTCGGCGCGCGGGGTTTGGTCGTCTCGGAGGCGCTGCGCTTCGGCGCGCGGGAGGCCGTCGTCGCGCTCTACGGCGCGGGCGACGCGGGCGGCCAGCTCTACGCGGCGGCCCGGGGCCTCCACGAGCTCTGCGGCGAGTGCTCGACGTCCGTGCTGCCCGTCGCGGCGAAGAAGACGCAGAACCGGTCCGTGGGCTCGCGCGCGGCGTCCGCGGCCGCGCTCGGGCGCCTCTGCGCGGCGCACGGCGACCGTCTGGGCCCCGCGACGCTCGGCGAGGCGCGCGTGCGCCTCCTGAAGCACGGCGCCAAGGCGCCCGAGGGCTGCGCGCGCGCCGCCGCGCTCCGGGCGTTGGGCGAAGTGCTCTCGGCGAGCCCGCGGCACGGGCTGCTCGGGTTATCGCCGCCGGGGGGCGGCGTCGGCTCGAAGCAGCAGCAGCAGCACGCGCTCGGCGCCCCCGGCGGCGACGTGCTCAAGGTGCTCGCGGCGCGCTTCGCGGCGGAGAAGCACGGCGACGCGCGCGCGGCGCTCGCGGCGTGCCTCGCGGCGCTCGCGGACGCGGCCGGCGCCGCGGCCGCGGGCGCGCTCGCGGCGCTCGCGCGCGCGGCGGCCGACGAGGCCGAGGCGAAGAAGACCAAGGGCGGCGGGGCCGAGACCGCGAGACCGCCGCCGAAGCCCTCGGGCCTCAAGCTGAGCCGGTCGACGTCCGGCGGCGAGGTCGCCGCGGGCGCGAGCCCGGTCCGGTCCGCGCGCGCGGAGGTCGACGGCGCGCTCAAGCTCCTGGACGACATCCTCGAGCTCGGCTGCAAGCATCTGGCCGAGGACCGCGTCGACGCGCGTCTGGATGTCGCGCGCGCCTGCGGGTCGGCGCTCGCGGCGCACGTCGCGGCCGCGCGCGCGGCGCGCGACCGCGCGGCCGTCGGCGCGGCGCGCGCGGACGACGGCGACAAGGCCAAGGGCGGCGACGCCGCCGCGGGCAGCCCGCGGCCCGAGGGGTCCACGCGCATGGCGCGGCTCCGCCAGTCCGTCCAGGGCGGCTCGCCCGCGGCGGCCGCGGACGCGCCGAAGAAGCGGTCCGCGTTCGGCGCGGCGCTCTGCGGCTCGGACCGGGGCGGGACGAGGGTGATTCGACGTCGCTTCAACGTGGGTGTTCCGCGCGCGCGCGTTCCGGAAAAAGCATCCACGCTTCGAGACCGTTCCGAGAGATGATCGCTCGTCCAAACATCAGCCGAAACGAGTGGAAAACGGCCGAGCTAGGAGCCTTTGAAGTTGGGAATTTCGCACCCTTTTCCTGCCCAGGCTCGGACGGCGCGGGGCCGAGCCTCGTCGGCGCCGTGGGCTTCCTGGCGGCGCTGGTCGCGCGGCACCGCCGCGACCGGAGCCGGCGGGGCGTCGCGGGCGCCGCGCGCGCCGTCGGCGCGCTCCTGGAGCGCGAGGCCGGCGCGCTCGCGACGTGCGACGCGCGCGAGCTCGCGGCGGTGCTGCGCGCGACGCTCGCGCCGCTGCGCGACGACGCGCGCGCGTCCCAGGACGACGACGACGCGGCGGCGGCGGCGCGCTGCGCCCTGGGCCGCGAGCTGCGGAAGCGCCTCGGCGCGGCGCCGGAGCAGTTCCAGCGCGACGCGCTCGCCGCGCTGCTCGGGCTCCTCGGGTCGCCGCGCGGCGGCGACGACGCGCCGGCCGTCGCGGGGCCGCGCCTCGGCGAGCACGAGCTCCAGGTCGCGCTCGCGGAGTGCAGCCATCTGGCCACGGCCCTCGGCGACGCGGCGGCGCCCTGCGGCGACGGCCTCGAGCGCGCGGCGCTGTCGTTCTCGTCCGACGCGAGCTTCGGCGTCCGCGCCGAGGCCGCGGCCGTCGGCGGCGCGCTCGGCGGCGCGCTGCGCCCGCGGCTCGCGCCCCTGGCGACGATGGCGCTGAAGGCGGCCATGGCCGAGCATCATGCGTTGGTGGACCTCGCCGTCGCGGGCGACCAGGCCGGCGGCAAGAAGCGCGTCAAGGACGTCCGCGTCCGCATGTGCGCGCTCCACGGCGCGGCGACGCTCGCGGCGACGCTCCTGCGCAGCTTCGACGCCGGCGCGGCGGGCCCGTCGCGGGCGCTGGTCGACGAGGCGCTCGCCGTCGCGGAGGGCTTGGTCATGCGCCAGTTCGACGCGTCCTTGTGCGCGGCGAACCGCGCGGCGGTGCTCGTGACGTGCGTCCGCGCGGGCTGGGCGCTCGTGGGCGCCCTCGTCGCGGCGTCGGGCGACGCGTCCTGGCTCGACGCGCGGCGGCGGCGCCTCGTCGAGGTCTGGGGCCGGGCCATCGACGCCGCGGGCGACGGCGACGCGCTGTCCGGCGGCTACGGCGTCGCCGACGGCGGCGGCGCGCTCGACGAGACGCACGAGCTCGTTTGTTTAGAAGCGGCGGCGGCGTCCGTGCACGCGCTGGCGCAGTCCGCGGGCGCGGCCCTCGAGGGGCCGCTGGGCCGCGACGTCGCGAGCTTGCTGGCCAAGGTCGTCTTCGCGGCGCGCGGCCGCCTGTCGCGCCCCGCGCGCGCGCACGGCCGCTTCCGCCTCAAGCTCGTCGCCGCGGGCCTCCTCGAGGCCTACGCGGCCCTGCCGCCGGCGGCCTTCGAGGGCGACCCGCGCGCGGCGGGCCGCGTCTTCGACTGGGCCGTCGGGTTGGTGCTGGTCGCCGGCGCCGCGTTGCCCGGCGACGCGCCGCGGAGCGACGTCGAGGCGGCCTTCGCGCCGCTACCCAACGAATCCCTGGCGCTCACGTCGGAGTTCCCGCCCGGCATCGACCCCTGCTTCTTCGTCGGCCACGCGGCGGCCGGCGCGGGCGTCGGCGACGGCGCGGACGTCGGCGCGGCGGCCGCCGCCGCCGCGGGCTTCGGCCGCGACTTCGCCGACGCGCTGGGCGTCCAGTGCTGCGAGGCGTTGGACCACAGCGAGCGCGAGGCGCTGGCGTTCCTGGACGTCGAGCGGGGCTGCCCCGCGGCGCGCGTCGACGCGCGGCTCGTCGACGCGGCGAAGAACGCCGCGGGCGCGCTCGCGGCGCTCGTCGCGCCCGCGGCGCAGCGGAGCGCGATCGACGCGCTGAGCCGGGCCCTGACGCACGCGCTGACGCCGCCGAAGAGCGGCCTCATGTCGAGCGAGGAGGACCGGCGGCGCCGGGAGCGGCGCCACGCGACGGCGGCGGCGAACGCGTGCGCCGCGCTCCTGGCGATTTTGGACGCGCTGCCGCGGACGTTCGCGCGCGTCGCGGACGCGACGGCGGACCCCTTCGGGCCGGCGAGGACCGTGTCGACGTCGCCGCTGAGCGACGCGCCCCGGGACGCCCTGGCGAAAGCTTTAGCCGCGGCGTCGCCGCTCTGCCGCCGCGCGGCCGCGAGCGCGATGGCGAAGCTCGTCTGCCGCCTCGAGGAGCCCAAGGCCAAACTCGCGGCGGCCAAGGCGCTGGCCGACGCCTGCGGCAAGGCCGACGCGCCGCGGAGCGAGCCCGACGCCGCGCGGCGCGCGGCGGCGGCGGCGGCCGTCGGCGACCTCGCGCGCGAGCGCGTGCTCACGCACGCGTCCGCCGCCGACGCGCTCGCGAAGCCGCTCGCGGGCTGCGCGCCCAAGCCCGCGCTCCAGCGCGCCTGGGCTTTGGCGGCGCTCGCCGACGCCGTCGCCGGCTGCCGGCCCCACGACGACGAGGCGAAGCGGCGGTCCTTCGTGGCGCTCGTTTTAGATGCTTTGGAGACGCAGCTCGTGACGCCGGGCGCGGCGGGCCTCGGCGGCGGCGTGAGAATCGAAACCGCGGGCGGCGACAAGGCGCCCGCGGACGGCGACCGCGCGACGGCCTTTGGTCTCGACGCGCCGGCGCTCCTCTGGCTCGGCATCAGCCGCTGCGTCGCCGCGCTCGCGCCCCACGCGCGCGGGCTCCGGCCGGGGCCCGACGGCCCTCTGATATCGCGCTACGGCGCCGCCGCGGACGCGTGCCGCTGCCCGGGCGCGGAGCGGCGGTCCGAGGGCCGCGCGGCGGCGGCGGCGGCCCACGTGCCGGCGCTCGTCGCCGCGGCGGGGCTCAGCGGGGGCGCGCTCCTGGACCAGCTCGCGCTCTTGGGAGACGCGACGCTCGACGACGACGCGTCGGACGCCGTCGCGGCGGCCGCGCTCGACGCTCTGGCGACGACGGCGCTCGACCTCGACGCGCGACAGCGGCCCGAGGCGCCGGCGGCCCGGGCCGTCGCGCGCGCCCTCTGCCTCAAGGCGCTGGACGGCGGCCTGGGCCGCGCGACGTGCGCGCGCGCGCCGCGGTGGCGCGGCGCGGCGCTGCCGGGCGCGTTCGAGGCGCGCGAGCGCGCCGCGCGCGCGGCGGACGCGGCGGCGCGGGGGTTGGAGGCCCTCGCGGACGCGCGCCCCGACGCCTCGTCGGGCGACGCGGGCGCCGTGCCCTGGCTCCTCCTCGCGGACGCGTGCCACCAGCGCGCGGCGCGCGGCGCGACGGCGGACGCGGCGTCGGTCGTCCGCGCCGCCTGCGAGGCCTTCGGCGACGCCGCCTGGCTGCCGCCGGCGCCGGAGGTCCGGCCCGAGGCCGGCGGCGACGAGGCGGAGGAGGACGAGGCCAAGGCGCCGCGCCGCGGCGCCGCGCGGCGCGCCGAGGCGCTCGACGCGAACCGGGCCCTGGCGCTCCTGGGCCTCGACGTCTTCGCGGCGCCGCCGCGCTGGCAGGCCAAGGTCGCCGTCGTCGCCGTCGCCGCGGCGGCGCTCCGGAGGGCCGGCGGCGCCGCGGACCGCGGCGCCGCGGCCGCCGCGCGCGCCGCGCTCGACGGCGCCGCGGCCGCGAACGACCGGCGGACCGAGGCGCACGAACGGGCGTCGCGCAGGCACGCGGCCGACGCCGAGGCCGGCGCGAAGCAGCCGCCGCCCGAGGCGCCGACCCTCGAGCCGCTGCCGGACGCCGTCGCGCTCCGGGCCGACGCGCTCGTGCGCCTCGGCTGCGCGCTGGCCACCGCGACCGTCGGCGACGACCACGGCCTCGACGCGTTGCAGGCGTCCGGCCTGGATCTCGTGGCGGCGCTCGTCGGGCGCCTGGGCGCGGTCGCGGACCCGGACGCGCCCGACGACGCGGCGCTGCTGCAGCAGTACGCGAGCCAGCTCGGCGCCGCCGCGCGGTGCGGTTTAGGAGCGGCGCGGCCGACGCCGAACGTCGTCGCGGCGCGCGCGTGCGTCGAGCGCATGGCCGAGGCGGGGCTGCTCGCCGACGCCGCGGCCTGGAAGCGGTTGCTGCGGGTCGCGGCGTCGACGCCGTCGCTGGCGAAGCCCGACGACGACGCGTCCGCGCTCGCGCCGGGCGGCGACGACGGCGCGGCCGACGACGTCGCGAACCACGTCGCGCGGCTCGGCCTCCTCGCCACCGCGTCCCTGCGCGGCACGTCCGGGGCCGCCGTGCCCGACATCGGCCGCTTCCGCCGGCGCTGGCTCGCCGTCGCCAAGGACGGCGCGCGCTTCCTCGCCAAGGAGCGGCGCGCGGGCGGGCCCTACGACGCGGACGCGTTCGCGGGCGCCTACTTCGACGTCGGCGCGGGCGCCTGCTACGACGGCCGCGCGGACGCCGCCGGCGTGCGTCGAGCGCTCGTCGACGCCCTGCCGGCGTGCTGCGCGGCGGCGGCGGCCGCGCCCGCGGCGCCGGGCGACGACGCCGTGCTCGGCGACGACGCGCTGCTGGGCGTCGCGCTGGCCTGCGCCGTCGACGGCGACGGCGGCGGCGCCGTCGCGGCCCTCTTGGCGCACTCGTCGACGCTCGGCGCGGGCGCCGTCGCCGCGGCGTTCGGCGCGCTCGCGGAGGCGTCGGACGGCGCGGCGCTCGCCGCGGCCGTCGCGTACCTCGAGGGCGGCCGCCGCGAGGGCCTGGCTATGGTCGGCCGCGTGGCCTGCGCCGCCGCGCGGCGCGCCGTCGACGCGGGCGCGTGGACGCCCGCGGTAGACGCGGGGCTCGAGGCCGTCGCGCGGCTCGCCGCGCGCGCGCCGGACCCGCGGCGCGTCGCCGTCGCGCTCCGCGCGGCGGCCGCGCCGCCCGAGGCCGTCGGCGCGACGC